GAATTTATTCTTAATCGTCAACCTAAAATAGCAACCTTCTACTGCTTGCCGAAAATCCACAAAAATCTACAGGACCCCCCAGGGCGACCTATCGTCTCTGGGATAGATAATCTTACGCAAAATATTAGTCTGTACGTGGATAGAATTTTGAGACCCTTGGTAGAGACTTTGCCATCATACATAAGGGACACTAAGCAAGCTTTGAATCTACTCTCTAATCTTAAGCTATCTCCAAGTGCAAACCTTTGTAGTTTGGACGTTGAATCACTCTATTCATCCATTCCTCACAATAGGGGTTTGGAACATGTAAGATTCTTCCTAAACCAAAGGATGTGTAGAGATGATCTTCATGCAGATTTTGTGGTACGCCTTTTAGAATTTATCCTATCACATAACTACTTTTTGTTTAACACCAAGTTTTATCACCAGGTGAGGGGTACTGCGATGGGGACAGCTTGTGCCCCCTCATATGCAAACCTTCACCTGGGGTGGTGGGAAAAATACATCTTTTCCTCAGAGACCTTGAGAGATTACCTCCCTAAGATTCTATGGTGGGGACGCTATATCGATGATATTCTATTGGTATGGCAGGGGTCCACACAGGAATTTGCAGCCTTAGTGGAATGTCTAAACCAGAATAATGAGAATCTCAGATTCACTTCGGAATTTGGTGGACGCTCAATCAATTTTTTAGACATCACGATTTCCATCAATGAGGATGGGACATTCCAGTCCACTTTATATAGAAAACCAACCGCTACAAACTCCCTGCTCCATTGGAAGAGTTATCATCCAAGGCCCCTTAAGGCGGGAATCCCGGTTGGCCAATATCTTCGCCTCCGGAGAAATTGTAGCGATGTATTGGACTTCAAAATAAAGGCAAATCAACTTCGTTTATATTTTAAGGAGAAAGGCTACCCAAATCGCTGTCTCAAAAAAGCTTATAAGAGAGCACTTGAAATTGATAGAAAAGATCTTCTTAGTGATCATCCCAGGAATAAAACTCTGAAAAACACAGGCGATATTCGTATGATTGCCGCATACGATACGGGATGGTCCGAAGTAAAAAATAGTTTGAATAGATTCTGGCCGATCCTTTTGAATGACTCACATTTGAAGGAAATTCTAGGTCCTTGTATTAATATCACGGCCAGAAGAGGCCGCAATATTCGTGACTTATTAGTACCAAGTCATCTATCCACTAAACCGCAGCCAAGGGACACATGGTTGGGTAATCCTCCATGTGGTTCCTATGGCTGCGGTAGATGTGTAGCTTGTAAATATATCTTGAAGGAATCTAAGGTAGTCAATGATAGTACTGGTAAAGTCTCTATCAAGATTAAAAACTTTTTCAATTGTAATACGAAGGGTCTGGTGTATCTCCTGTCCTGCTCATGTGGACAAAAATATGTAGGCAAGACCTTTAGAGCGTTTAAAGAAAGGATCATGGAACATGTAAGGTCCCCTAGGAATCGCCTCGAAACACCAATTTCAAGACATCTTAGAGAATGTCATGGGAGTGACTCTAGTAATCTGAAATTTTGTGGTCTTGAATGGGTTAAGAGACATGTGAGGCGAGGGAACTATGATCGTCTTTTGAGACAGAGAGAGTCTAGGTGGATCTATAGACTTAAGACACTACAACCCTTGGGTTTAAATGAGGGCTTCTCTTTTGCTCCATTTATTTGACCCTTTATATATATATATATACTTTTTTGAGATATAGGCACGTCTCTATATATATATATGCATGCTTTACATATTGTATCGGGAGCATAGCACTTTATTGAATTACTGACCCATAAGGACTTATCTCATTTGTACTGACTGATTCTGTCTGGGAGTTGATTCTAAGACTCTGCTCAGTTCCTTTGGGTATTGTCACTATTTGGACCTGCCATTTCAGGATTTATTTACTTACATATGCTTTTTGACCTATATAAATGTTTTTCTTACTTTTGTATTATTGTTTGGTTTTTTCAACTGATCCCTCTTTTCCCTTTCCCTCCATAATCTCATCTTCTCTGTTTCCACCATATATATGCACTATACTCCCTTGTCTGTCTTTTGACTATGGGAATACTACATTTTATTACCCTCTATTTACCTTTTTATATGTTGTTATCTCATTTCTTACTATAAGGAATTTATATGCTTGAAAGGCAACATAGTGTGATACGTTGTATCCTGCTGTGTGAGTGCTTTAACTGTACACACTCGCGTTTTTTGGCTAAATGCCAACCTTTGCGAATGTGAAACAACATACACACAGTATATATCGTGGTTGCTTGTTGCCAATACTGGGGGGTTTTCTGATGCCGGTATAATATGCGCTCGCGTTCTTCTCCGGCTGAATGCCGGCACCTGACGCATGCGCATTTTCGTCCTGACTTACATACATGAATACGGGACCTCCCACCGGCAAACTATGCAGGCGTAACAAAACTGGAGCTCAGCCCACTGGTGACGAGTCTCCTTTTTTGGCGCCAATTATAAACGGAAATGTGTATATAAGGGAGGGGAGGAAGGGGGATCGTTTGCACACTACTACACCCTCGATAAAGGCGGACATTACCGCCGAAACGCGCGTTGGGTTTCTTTTTTTCTGTGTGTGTGTAGGGGGGAGAGGATATGGGCAATTAACTTTGCACTCTTTTTACTTTTTGAAATTAGCCCAGGGTTTTTTTGACCTACTGAACTCTCTTTACTGCCTCCTCACTTTATTTTCTATTCTCTTCACTGACATCTCACTATCCTTTCGATTTACCCACTTTGATACGATATATGGAGCCATTATGGCTTATACTAATTTACACTTGTAGTACATGACTAGGACCATATATTTATATCTTTATAAATAGTTATCTAATAGTGAAGAGTTAACTTTTTGGTTCACTGTAGACTAGCCTGAGGGAACTTGAATGAACTTTTAGTCTGCCCTTATTACTTTTTGGATACTGTTGCTAATCTATTGTAACCTGAAGTAGCTTTTTCTTACTACTTCTCTATTGGAATTTTTGCAACTTAGTGTCAAGTTACACTATTTAGATATATACATCTTTCAAGTTGCTTTTTTCTATGTTCCCTCACTCTTAGTCAATAACAGTTTGATGTATTATAGAATTTATATATGAGATTTTAATGATCTTCAATAAAACTTTATTATTTTTTGTAATACACGGTAGTGGGCAAATATATTGCTCCAGAAGGGGTATTAGGATTGAGGGGATTTGTTTCCTGTGTCTCAGGGATACTGTCTCCTCTCTTTGTTTTTGTTTATTGGTTAATATAAGGGTTAGGCCCTTTTTAGTACCCCATTAATCCATTTTCTGTGTATCCTTTTGGCTGGAATTTGTTCAGCTAAAGGTGCATTTCTTTCTTGTTGTGTATGTATGTATTCAGCAGTCTGTGTGTGTGTACTCAGCAGTCTGTGTGTGTGTATGTATTCAGCGGACTGTGTGTATGTATTCAGCGGACTGTGTTTGTGTGTATGTATTGCATTTGTTGGAGATACTAATAAATATAAGCTTAATTTAATCGATTTATATCATTATTTAAAATTTGTATCATTGAACTCTCTGTTGTGTTCTTCTTTTAAAACTAAAGTTGTTAATTAGTTCGGACAACTGTACGAGTTGTTTTTTCTAAACTTAAACTTCAGTATTCAGGTTTAATTGCCGTGTTGGCACTTTGAGGGAAAAAAAGCTGGCATGTATTGCGGTTTGGGCACTTGGGCTCAAAAAGGTTCGCCATCACTGCCCTAGGGTATTTCAAATGGTGGTATTTTAACACTTTCCATGCACTATTTCTCTTCAGTCCTTGTCAAACGTTTGGGTAGTCATTTGTTTGTGTTATTTTTCACACACATTCTACTTTAGGCATGGATTCTCGGCTCCTGTTATGTGTTACTGCCAAAGAACACCCCCATATGTGTTCAGCAACATCTCCTGAGTACCATGATACCACCTATGCATAGGTTTGTTTGGTTGTTTGGGGGGTGCAATGCCAAACTTCTGACATGTGTTTTTCAAATCTGACATATCTTCTTTGCCTATATTCTTTTTGGTGGGATTTTTAGATATCTCAATTTCTTTTTCTTGCCATAAGCATGCATATATTTGAAAAGTGGGAGTGGTAAGCGCTCTGAAAAGAGCTTTTGAGTCTCACAAAAAAAAAAAATGCACAGACAGCAAAAAGAGCCAGTGATTATAGTGATCACTGGCAAGATAGGGGTTAAAGGACCACTATAGGCACCCAGACCATTTCAGATCAATGAAGTGGTCTGGGTGCCAGGTCCCTCTAGTTTTAACCCTGCAGCTGAAAACATAGTTTCAGAGAAGTGTTAGAGTGGCGCCTCATCGCCAGAGGCCAGATAAAGACCTAATGACCTTTACAGTGCCAGGAAAACAAGTTTGTTTTCCTGGCACTATAGTGCTCCTTTAATGGCTCTGAAAAGAGCCTTTGGGTCTCACAATTTTATAAATCCCTTAACTAAAACACAGATTTCTCTCCCTCTCCCACTAAAACACACATGAAGAGTGGGATGGAGAACCAACCTGATCAGAGAAATGGGGATCATAGTTAGAATAAAATTGTGTTAGGGGCAAGCTCTGATTGGATGATGAGGCAGGCTAGGGACACCCCCAGAAGCCCCATGATGCACTGCCTTTAGAAAGGCAGTGCCATCTTGGGAGCCACATGGCTGGGGGGTTAATATATATTTTCCTGTTTTTTAAAAAAAAATAAAAAATTCTTCACTAAGTACCTCTACCCAGCACAGGCTTCAGATGCTTTGCTTAAGTGCCAGGCACCACGTGGAGCAACCCAGAAGTGATCGCTCCGGTGGGGGGAGCGATCACCCGGCAGTAAGGAGAGGTATTGCACTATGTCTCGTTGTCGAGGCATCGCTGCAATACCTTTAGAGCGCTCTAATTAGCCACAGACGTATCAGGTCCTTAAAGGAGCACTATAGTGCCAGGAAAACAAACTCGTTTAGGGTTATAGGGTCATACCCCCCCTTCAGCCACTTACCTTTCTCCAGCATTGGGCTCCCTCAGCACTGGGGAACTCTCCTCCTCCTGCTGACGTCAGCGCCAAATGCGCATGCGTGGCAAGAGTCGCACGTGCATTCAAACCGCCCATACTCAATGCTTTCCTATGGACGTCAGCATCTTCTCACTGTGGTTTTCACAGTGAGAATCGCAGAAGCGGCCTCTAGTGGCTGTCAGTGAGACAGCCACTAGAAGCTGGATTAACAAACAGTATACACATAGCAGTTTCTATGAAACTGCTATGTTTACAGCTGCAGGGTTAAAACTAGAGGGACCTGGCACCCAGACCACTTAATTGAGCTGAAGTGGTCTGGGTGCCTATAGTGATCCTCTAAGGACCTTTTTTTTTTGTCAGATGTACCCGATATGTCCGCACTCAGGAAGGGGTTAAAAAGAGCAAGGACAACACCAGAGGAAAGAGAGCAGTTGAAGATGTGCATTAAGTATGGCACAAGACAAGGGGTGAGATCTGATGAGGTGAGACGGGATGGGATCAAGCAGACATGTGGTGGGACGCGAGGCAAGGAGAAGGGAAGTCACCACCTGTTCAGTAGCTGGAGAAAAGCCTTGGAGGTTAGAGATGGTACGGTCCATGTTTGAGATAAAGAGGAGTGAAGAGAGGCAAATTAATTCCATAACTGTTTACTTTTGTCAGTAAAGTAACATGCAAAGCTATCAGCTGAAAGATTAGTTTGGAGGCTGGCCACAGCAGGATGAAGAAGAGCGTTAAAGGCTTTAAAGAGACAGCTAGGATTGTGGAAGCATGAACTAATGAGAGAGGAAACGTAGGACTGTTTAGCAAGGGTGAGGGCTATGCTGTATGAACGCAAAACAAATTTATAATGTAGAAAGTCTGACAAGGTGCAAGACTTCATTCAGCAGAACAAATGATAGTAGGTGGTGGTCAGATAGAGGAAATGGAGTATTACAGAGATTGGATACAGTGCATGTGTTTGAAAAAAATAAACATTTTCCAGAGATGTTACCTCAGCATAAGTCTTTGAGCTGCAAGAATTAGTAGCTTTGAGTCCTGTGAGCAATCTTATGTGTTCAGTTGTTGGGGCTCAGACAGATAGAAGTATTCATGTACTACTAACATCACAATTGTGGTGTCCTAAAGTGAAATAAGATACCTTTCAAAATTATTCATACTTTCAATGTTTTTCCAACTCTAAACGCTAATTGCCATGATATATTTTATTTGGGACAATGCACCATATACCCAACTCTGTGCCCATAACAAATGTCAATACGTTTTGTTAACTCCCACTGTTGTAGTTAGTGGCTAGTGGGGAAGCTTTTCCTCTCTTTGGAACACCCTAAACCAGGGGTCCTCAAACTGTGGCCCTCCAGATGTTGCTGAACTACAACTCCCATGATTCTTTGAATTACATTGATAGCCAGAGAATCTTGGGAGTTGTAGTTCAGCAACATCTGTGGGGCCGGAGTTTGAGGACCCCTGCCCTAAACACAGGTATTAGCCCTCAACTGCATATCCACACTTAAAGAGACTCTCCAGAAACCTTAAAGGACCACTCTAGGCACCCAGACCACTTCAGCTTAATGAAGTGGTCTGGGTGCCAGGTCCAGCTAGGGTTAACCCATTGTTTTATAAACATAGCAGTTTCAGAGAAACTGCTATGTTTATCAATGGGTTAAGCCTTCCCCCAAATCCTCTAGTGGCTGTCTCAGTGACAGCCGCTAGAGGCGCTTGCGTGCTTCTCACTGTGATTTTCACAGCGAGACCACGCCAGCGTCCATAGGAAAGCATTATGAATGTTTTCCTATGCGACCGGCTGAATGCGCGTGCAGCTCTTGCCGCGCGTGCGCATTCAGCCGACGGGGCGGAACGGAGGAGTAGAGGAGGCAGAGAGCTCCCCTCCCAGCGCTGGAAAAAGGTAAGTTTTTACCCCTTTCCCCCTTCCAGAGCCGGGCGGGAGGGGGACCCTGAGGGTGGGGGCACCCTCAGGGCACTATAGTGCCAGGAAAACAAGTATGTTTTCCTGGCACTATAGTAGTCCTTTAAGTTGGAAAATCTGCATTGGGAAGTCTGTGATTGTACAGCCACAAAGTCTGGGAGGGGTTAGAAAGGCTTCAGACGAGATATGCAGCTTCTGAATGCTGTATTTAGATATACCCCAATGAAAAGCATGCATGTTTTCATTGGTAATACATCTGCTGAACAGTGATTTTTATTTTTTGGTACTTGGGCAGTGCAGTGTTCCTTTAAAGGAACACTACAGTATTAGGAATACAAAGCTGTGTTCCTAACATTATAATGTTCTTCTGCACCCCCACCCCACAGTTAAAGGGTAACATCCTTTTTCTCACTGGCTTCTCCAATATCAGCAGCAAGCGCCAACATTAGGCCTTTACCATAGGAAAGCATTGAGTCAATACTTTTCTATAGGGTATTTGACGACTCTGGATGCCCTCATGCAGAGCGCGAGTACGTCTAGCATTATTTCAGTCAAACTCTGTGAAACAGCTGGAAAGGCCTCTAGTGGCTGTCTGGGTGCCCTTTAAAACATGGTCAACATCTTGGATTTTTAAGAAATGGGGGGAAGAGAATGCAGAACCAGGCTACAGAAGTGATAATGGGAATGAAAATGTTTTGGTCTAAAGGAAGGCAAAAAAATATATATATGCATATATCAACCAGATATCTCTCTTCGCTTTCCTCTCTCTCAAACTTCCTCCTGTTGTCTTTTGTTTTCTTCCTCGGTCTCCTGCAAACAGAGACCTCCTCTAAATGTGACTAAAAATCTTTGGAGACTGGGACACTCCTCAGCTTGATGTTATCGCTTAGCAGTTGTTGTTGTTGTACTCCCACTTTTGCCTTTGGTTGATAATGTGTATTACTTGCTTTGTACCTACAAGTATCGCAGATTGAAGTATATTTTGTCACCTTGATCTAACATTGCGGACGTACATGTATCCTTAGCTTACATTATCTTTCCAAAGGCAATTACTACTCAACATTTTGTTTTTCTTTGTTGTAAACAAATGTTCGAATATCTAATGTCATCTGCTCTTTAAACTTTTTGTTGTCGGCTGCCGTTGCATATGTACAGCCCACTGTCCAAGATTAATAAATAAAGAATATAAAAAATAAAAATATTTGTTGCTTGTTTTTCTTTCAGGTACACGAAAAATTACACAGGACTTACAAACTTTTTTTTTTTTTTTTAAACCATAATGTACAGAGAAAAGAATTCAAATCACTGCCTACAGCAGAAGACTATTTTGGGTGTTATAAAGTCCATACAATTGTGATGGGTTATACCTATATTTAACCACGGTTAGTTGGGTAATCTGATTGCCTTGTGAAATTGACCCACGCCCTTTTTTTGTATCAATTGCTTCAAATTGAGTTTTGTGATCACCAGGCTAGAGAGATATTTTTTGATCACCAGGATAAAGAGATATGTTTAACTTGTAAACAACACACAAAAATCAACACTGTATTGATTTAATATGGTATGTTTAATGTGTTAACTTTCAGAAGCCACAACTCCTACACTTATGGTGTTAACTCAACCATAAATTTGTAGAGAATTGTAAAGTTTAAGCAAAAATAGCCAAAACCAAAAACAATTCTCCAACATGGCTATTTAACCAGTTTAGTAAATAGCATTAACATTTCTTAACATGAGACATCCATTCCTACACAGATCTACTGTGTTGGAACCACTTATGCCAAATTTTATGTTTTACAACTATGGAACTTATTGTATATCCCTTCTACTATAATTACTAGCATGCCAGTGTGAAGTGAGCATGTGTACAAACATTTCTTTGGTAGGTTAACATTTGTCACCCTCTCCCTCAAGTGTTTCATAAAGATACAAAGCTGTATGAAATATAAACTGTTGGAATTTCACTGAAATTACAATGCAGTCAAAAGATATACTAAGACAAAGTAGGGACCATTTTGTCTTGGTATATTCCCTACACTTGACAAAAACCAGAGCTCTCGTGTATTGTGAAACGGCCAGGAGGGACAGGTTAATGTAAGTAAAATTTACCCACGCATGCACACAAAGGCCATCGAATACCTAGTGGTGTGGTCATAAGCAGGAGACAGAGCCACTATAATACACAAATTCCCTCTACTTAAACAACTCACCAGAACAACTACAGCTTATTGTATTTGTTCTGGTGAGTAGAATCATTCACTGTTCAGAGAAAATGCAGTGTTTACATTACAGTTTAGGGATACCTCCACTGGCCATTCCTCAGATGGATACTAGAGGTGCTTCCTGGGGCTGTGCTGCACCATTCCGAGTCTCCACCCTCTGCATGGAGACACTGAATTTCCTCATAGAGATGCATTGATTCAATCTTCTCTATGAGGAGATGCTGATTAGCCAGGGCTGTGTGTTCCTGTTAGAAAGCATTGTAATTGGCTTTTGATCAACACTTCTGATGACAGCCAAGCAGGCAGATTAGGGCAGAGCCAGCAGCAGCAGACTGGAATAAAAGTAAGCTTTTATTTTTAGTGTGGCATGGTTGGGCTAGATGGTGTGTTTAACACTATAGGGGCAGGATTACATGTTTGTGTTCCTGACCCTATAGTGTTCCTTTAATTTTGGTGATTTTGTACATGGAAATGGGATTTAGCAACTTTCTGATAATATATGACCAGTGACAGCAGCACGCGCTAAACACCAAGAACACATTGCAACACATGTCCAAAATGTCTCAACATAATTTATTTTTTTAACGTTAAAATGTACAGTTTTATTTCTGAAAGCACTTACTAGAAAGGAGGAGAAGGGTACAGAGGACACTAGGGGGTAAGAGTCTTATTACATACAAACCAGACTGGGGCAGTTAGGACCCACAGCTTCAAAAAAAGGCCGGAGGGAGAAGGAGAAAAGAAAATGAATGGGATGGGCATTACAACCATATGAAAATGTAAATGGCCACTGTTACAAAAAAAAAAAAAAAGTTGGGATGGAAGGGAAGAGAAGTAATATTGCATACATATACTATGGACCCTTAAACATGTTCCATAAAACCCTCATTCAATGAGAATTTGTCCTTAAAATATGTTTTTATTATTTTTTTAAATTTAAAAAAAAAAAAAAAAAAAAGCAGTTTCTGGAAAGCACATTGCAATATAGCCATAATTGGGTACTTGTGGAAGTGCATACTGCTTAACCCATTCACTGCTAGTAGGCCCTAATACCTCATTGGTAGGCAAACTGGGGCTTGTTTGCCTATTAACTAGCAGAGAATTAAGGGAATTGTAATCTAGTACAGAAGCTAGCAAACTGCAGTTTTCCAAATGTTAAACAATATTAGACTTGGGTTTTAAAATATATATATATGCAGAGGAATTCTATGGGTAAAACAACCTTGTGTGTAAGTGTATATTCATAATATACACACACACTAATATATATATACATATACAGATATACATAAAAAGGCACCAGTGGGTTTTGATGCATTAGGGCAGAGAAATGTCAGTTACCAATTAATTATTCTTCCTACTCATTTTCAAGAATCAGCACAATGTCGGACTATATCATAACCAACGTATTCCTTATAAAAGACAAGTATTTCATGAATATTTGTTTCATCTCCCCCCTTAGACAGCTGCACCAGGAAGATTGTGTGTGTGTGTGTGTGTGGGGGGGGGGTGTTACTGTCTGTTGTATAGGAGTAAATAGTAACATAACCGAGTGCCCATATTAGACATATCCCAACACAATACCTTTCATGCCTTTTACATTGCACGTATACACATAATTTTGTACTGTTATTGCACATGTAAACAAGCACACTTTACCTAATGTGGCTGTATTGGTCAGCTGTGTATACATTATATAAACTGAGTGAGATTTATTGAAAATTGCTGAGTCATTCATAAAAGTGTCACAATGTTTGGATATTGCGGAAATCACCGTGATAACCACTTTAATGCCCCTGTTGATTCCATTGCCTTCCATGGTTGCCACACCTTTAGAACTCTGCACCAATTTTCAGTTAGCCACACTTTTATAAGCACTCCTAGGGCTGTTTGTATCATTTTTACTCTAGTATAATAAACAAACACAATTGTTGGACATAAGTGGCAAGAATTATTAATATTTTAAGTTACAAAGTTGGAGTATCCAATTTCTATTTTTCCTGGACTGATACTGTTTTTTACACAAAAATATATTTATGCATATATAAAACACAAAAGGTGGACACGCATTTTTACATATCTTTATGTATAGGCACATTTCTTCATTTACCGAACCAACCTCTCTTCTCCCACTAACAAGATGGCTTTGCCCTGATGTGTCTACCATATTTTTGAATACTGGAGAAAAGATAAGGATGTATCTTCATATACAGCAGTGAAAGTTGTGTTTGTCCCATTCAAAATTTACAATGAGTAGATGTTCCAGACAGTGTGTAAAACCAAATCTGCTGAGTGCTGTGTTGGTTGTGTATAATTTTGGTAACAATAAGCATGTAGACCCGCTGACGACCAGCTGCAAAATCACTTCAGATGACAACCATAATGCTCTGACACAAATTAAAACCGTAAAATACATGCCTTGACAATGCCTTACCTTGTGTGTATATATATATATGCAAAAATGATTGAACCACAATGTATGCCAGAAACAAAATATAAGAGGGGAGGGGAAACACCAACATCAAGAACAAAACATATGTACAAGAATACGAGATATTAAAATCGATGCCTGTCATCCAAAGTGTACAAATATACAAAACATGAAAGAAACCATTTCGGAAGAATATACAGTTTATACAACATGGTGGGTGTAGGTTTGGGCTTTGATGTGAGCTTTAAACATTGAGAACATTATAAATCGTTTGTGCCAGGCAAAAGCATAAGCTATAACTTATAGCCAACTCATCCACGCACTCAAAAGGTAAAATCTCAATTCAGTGAGAGTGCCCTAAAGTTTTATGTATGTGCATTTAAATATACACATCACAACTTACTGGTGCAGCTGCCTGGTATGCAGTTTACTTTTTTTTTTTTCTCAACTGCATAAAACAGAAACATTAAAAGGAGGTTAATATTTATATACATGTATTCACCCCCCTATGTAAATACTCTGCTTTATTGGTGGAAAATAAGTGCTTCTTATCGGTATGGGAGAATGATAAACTAACCATTGACAGAACAGCAATAAGGAATATATATGTGTTAAACTCTATAGCATTATTTCTCAAACCTGCTCATAGAAAAAGCAATGATTCAAGAATTAAGGAGTACCCAACAAAATTTGAATTGCTGGTGGTCCTTGACGACAGAGTTGAGAAGCATTAAGAAAAATAAGTATCCAAATGTGAAAAATGTATGATTGTGACCGTGAAGGTGTATCTCACACCAAACCAATTACTGGAAAAAAATGTAACAATGGGTCATGCTCTCCTAAGATGCAGTTGCACTATGTAATGATCTAGATCATGGCTTATTCCTCAGCAATGAGTTATTTGACATCCTAGGGACTTTGATGTTTAAACTAAACTGTGCTTTGAGGATAATGGAGATTGCAGTCCAAATCACAGGGAGGATTGACCGACCCCATATGGAAATTTGAATGTTTTGGAAATCATCATAATAGTGTAGGTGTACGGCCCCTTAGGTAATTAAAACTCTCTTCCCTTCAACACCCCAGCCATGAAAACGAAGACGAAATTTATTTTTTTAATTTAAAAATCCCTAAATAAAAGAGCAGTCGCACGCTGAAAAAAATATACAGTTGTCGCAGCTGTGTTGTAGACCACGACCGAATAAGGCTACAGGGTTAGATTTTTTTTTTTGTCTTTCTTACATTTTTTTCTTTTAAACTTGTTTTCTAAAAATTGATTTCCTATTTTCGTGCGATTCTCCACTAAAACCAATCTTATATTTTATATAATTTTTTGCCTCTGTTGTATGTATGTATGTATGTATGTATGTATATATATATATATATATATTTATTTATTTTAAAAATTGGAAGGGAAGGGTGGAATTTGTTTTCCGCCAACACTTTTGTATAAACCAGAGTGAAAGACAAAATGAAGAGGGAAAAAAAAAAGTTACAAAAAAAATAATAATAATAATAATAATAATAAATCTTTCTACAGAAAAGAAAAACAGGAAAACCCCCACAAAATTACATTTTTTTGTAAGGGGAAATAAAATAACAATAAAAAACATAGAATATTAAATCTACAGCAACGGGATATAAGGGATAGGGAATAAAAGTCCTGTCAGTATAAAAGGCCATATTTATAGTCTGCAAGAGAACTTTGAAGGTCAGGTGGGTACTTTCTGGGGTGGCACCGGTGCCCCCCCCCTCTCATCTTCGCATGTAAGGGGAGTTAAGAGTTTGTTTGGGGACAGGAGGGGAATTCATATAGGAATGGTGTGGGGGTGGTGTGTACATCATATTTCCATGGGGATTCGGCTGCATAGGTTGTTGGGTATAGGCCTGGGCACCCATCATGCCCATGCCAACCTGCATGGGATACTGTGTTGTCTGGTTCATATAGGCTGCGTTGCTGTGATAAGAACTGTTGACCATAGGCTGGGACATGCGGTACCCGCCCATGGCATTGAGTGGGTTCATGGTGTTGACATTGTACGGTGAAGTGGACATAAGGTTGACACCCATGTTCATGCTCCGCTGGACGGTAAGTGACCGGGCGGCTGGCTGCATGCCTGGTGTGCTACGCCCATATAGCTGCTGCTGGTGAGGAGATGGGGCAGCAGGAAGTGGTGCAGATTTGGAGCGAATGGATATGTGCCCTTTGACAGGCATCTGGCTCTGAATACGCTGGCTGTGGGGGATGCCCAGGTTGCCAGCTGACATGTTGCACTGAAGGAGGTTCATTGAAGGACTGGTCATGGTGGCTTGTGCTTGGGGTGGTCCCGCCAGGGGGTGGGAAGAGGTGAGCTGGGAAAGGCCTGAATTGGAAAGGGACACGCTATTTGCATAGGAGGTGACAGCCTGAGCATGGCTGTAAGGCATAGCATGAGGGTCCATGATAGTGTTGGTAAGTTGCTGCAACTTGGCTAAGCTGAAGGTAGCTGAAGGCTGGGAGTAACTCCCAGCCCCAAAATCCCCCGGGTAGATGCTGAGATTGCTGCCATTATTCTGGTCTGGTATCTCCATTATCATAGGTGAGGGGCCAAAGTTGTTGTTCATGCTGCATTGGGACATAGGGGTCTGTTGCTGTGGGGGTGGTTGGGGCTGCTGTGGTGGCAATGGGGGTGGAGGAGGTGGAGGTGGGGGCTGCTGATTGTTGCTACTAGGAGGTCGCTCTGAGGCACAGCTCTGAGGTGACTTAATCCCACACGCTTGTGTTGTCTGCATCATGCTTGCCATGCCAGCCATTTGCTGGCTCACTGCACAACCATTCTGTGCCATACTAGCTGAAGAGGGCAATCCCCCAGCTCCACTGTTATTTCCACCACTGGCATAAGAACAACTGCTCTGTGAGGAGATGCTACCACCTCCCATGCTCGAGTCATAACTGCTGGGGTTCTCATAGTTTTCTGTCGTGCTCTCAATGCTGCCCAAGTCACTGAAACCACTATCCACAACCTGTTGTGAATGATCCGAAACAGAGGGTACATCCATCATGGGACTAGTCGTCTCGAGGTTCTGCATAGAAGGAGCAGAAAGGGAACCTGCATCAGGGCTAATTTGTGGGTAGCCGCTATTTCCATTATTTTCCAAAGCAGATGGAATGCTCGGACTGCTGGCTGATCGAACTGACTGGCTGGGATGAGAATGAACAGAAGAAATTGGGCTGTCATGGGCAGAGGGGTGGCACTCCTCGGACAAGCCTATCTGAGGGTCCTCTTCTGCCTGTGTAAAACTCTGCAAAGTCTGACAGGCTGTTAGAGTCTCATCTTCACAGTCTCCATATGCGCCATCATCACGTTCACTGCCCTCTTCCTGTGTTAGTGACTGAACAGCTTGCACAGTCTCCAAGTCAAGCTCTGTATGTGGAATTTCCTCTTCCCCTTCTTCATCATCTTTCTGCTCTTCATCTACTTTCTGTGGACTCTCTTCCTCCTCCTCTTCCACCTCCAAACAAGGCGGATCAGGCACTTCTGTTGTGGCCTCATGCACAATCTCTCCTTTTTCCTCCTCTTCACTTCCACTTACTACAGATGGCTCCTGCTGAACAGGATCTTCAAGGGCAGGTCCTTGCTCTAGCTCCTCAACTTCTTCAATCTCTTTTGCACCATCATCTTCATCATCTGCATCATGGTCTTCCTGCTGGTTGGGCACAAAAGTCACAGTAACCTCCTTGTTTTCTTCAACTCTTTCCTCCTCCTCCTCTTCTTCTTGCTCAATCTCTTCCACCACGAGCTGTGGCTCATCTACAGTTTCTGGTAGTCTTTCTGGGGATGGGGGATTTTGTTCAGTTTCCCTGGATGAGCCATCACAGCTACTGCTACTGCTGCTTTCAGAAGGGGATAATGGTTGCAGAGCATCAGTGATATTATCTTCCTCATCTCTAGTTTTCACCACCACAACTGGAGCCACCTCTTCTTCTTGCTGCTCTTTTGTCTCAAGTGGCTCTTCTCTAGGAGGCTCCTCTTCTTCCCTTGTCCTTGATTTCCGGATGGGCCTGGGAGGTGGAGGCTGGATAGGTGCAGCTGGTGGAGGCTCACGGTTCAGTTTGAAACCAGGTTTCCGCCCTGGACGCTTCTTCCAGTGGATTGGTTTCCGGCTCTTACCCTTTGGCCAGCCTTTCTTCTTTACAGGGGCAGGGGTGCAGGCATCAGGTGTGGATACATTCTCTTCTGAGGAACGTATAGTTGAGGCAGGAGGCTGTATTGTTGATCCTAAAATAAAAAATAAAAAAAAATACATAAACAAAGTTTATGTAGGTGTAGTGTGGAAACATGCTAAAGATTATTTGATCTAAAAAAAACACACATTGTAACTTGAGAAACACAAGTTCAAAATAAAAGGCACAGTGATCATGCATACATAATTGTGCTCTACACTCTACTTTTGAGCTGTGGCAGCTTACCTTGGGATGGCTCTGTACAAATTCTCCTCTTGCTTAATGGGCGATTACGTCTAAGTAAAGTATGTTTGGTGAGGTAGGGGAAATAGCCAGGGGGAAAGGAGGCACCACGACCATTGCCCTCCTCTTCAGGCTCCAATCTTGGCATTGGCCGCTCAGAGTCAGAGTCATCAAAAGGTTCATCTAGTACTTGGGTGGTTTCCGATATGGTCTCAGTCACTACACTACTGTTATGGTGGTGCTTGCGTCGCCGCACACGACGCTTTCTATAAACTCCTGGCTTCTGAAATAAAAATAGGAGAGAAAAGTGAGGAATATACTTTAGTGTCCCACGCAAGTAATACACTACTTTCATCTTCAAGATTATAACCGAATGTTATGATTAATGCCCCCTACACATAAGAGAGAAACATACATGGGATACAAGACAGAGTGAGTAAGCTATACTTTAATAGTAATGAGGCTAGAATAACTAAAGTCTAGATATTAGACTCTAGATAGAAGAGACTTGTAATGAGACATCTGTTTTAAAAGGGGTTACCCTAAAAAGTACCTCAACACCTACATTTGCACTATACCTAGTCATTTCACCATCGTAAATAACTGAAACAGAAAGCTAGAAATACACTAAAATCAATACATTTGCATTATGAATATAATAAATAAAATTATGCGAACACTGATGGCCACTAAGTTAATGCAATATTGTAGAATATATCATTCTTTGACAAACATGCATTTTGCACAAGTTATGCGTATGCATTCTTAATATGCATAAAACTTCACCTTGCGTTTGAGTGTAGGCTTAGTCAGAATAGGTGGTGATTCTGATCGACGACTGTGGGTCTCTTCGTCGTCATCATCATCATCATCATCTTCCTCCTCACTGCTCTCGCTAAATCTTCTCAGCTGTTGATGATCACTTTTATAATGTTGTGAAAGCCTCTCCTGGTGTTCCAAAAAATCTCTTCGTAAAATAGGGGCTCCAATTCTCTTCAGCCTTCCCCTCCTTGATCCAGAACGGCCCCGTTCTCCATTACGCCTAGGAGGACCTGGAGGTTCCCTAGCCAACAGCCTCAGAAGGTCAGCTGCTCGGTTGGAAGAAGCACGAAGACCTCTGCCCCGTCGAGCACGCCTTCCTCGCCGCCCTCTCCCTGGAGGTTGGCTGTTGGCTGGCAAGCTATCCCGGAACAGGTCTTGAAACTGAGGGTGTGGATATCGAGATGGTGGTGATGAGGAACGATTTGGAATAGGAGGCGGGCTTTTCTCTTTCTCCAAGATGGGACATTTGTCTCGCTCCTTAAAATCCATACTTCTCAGCATCTGTGGCCAAGAGTGAAATAACAATGTCACTAATTTTGTTTACACATACTGGGGCATGTTCCTAAATACCTGCTCTTTTCTTATTTATTATGTATTTAAACCAATCCTAACAGAAACAAGGCTTTTTACACAGTCACGGTTTAATTCAGCACAACCGTTTAATACAACAGAATTGTATTAAATCAAAGAAATAGAAAGGAAAAGCAAAACAGAAAATAAAAATATTGGAGTCAGAACATAATGAGGCCAAACGGCTATAATAAAAATAAATAAATCTTAGCCAGTGATTTTTGTTTCTTTCAGAAAGAATAGTTAAAATGGTTTAGAATGTTTTACCAACTAGTGAGGTCAAAGTCAATCAGACTGACATACAATTGGTCTCAAGACAATTAATTTTCTTTTTAACTAAATATTTCCCAATACTTTTTACAGGTGTGGTAACTCCCTAGAGCTTGAACATTGTAGCATGCTATACTACTAATGCAACTAATCTTCCATAACCTCATAGGAAGAAAAGCAAATTGCAACCACTAGCTGTGGATGTAGATACACTAGATGTATATGTTCATTTTCAGCTCCAAAAACATACCGAGGAAGGGTTTGTGTTAGGCTGGGATCATTTAAGGTCTATCATGACAGATCAAAATTAGCTATAATGATATATCTTCAATAAAAACTTACACTGCTGTCTTTCAATTGGTGCCTTTGTTCTTCATCCTCTTCATCCTCTGATTCATCATCATCTGATACTACAGAATTTGTGACAATCACTGGTGTCCACCTTAAAGCTTCAGGATCAACGTCCACCTCCCTTGGTCGGGCATGCAGGCGGTTCATGTGAGCCTGGATTAGCTGTTCTCGGCGCACCAACACAATGCTAAATAAAAACGGAGGGAACGTAAGAGAAAAAAAAAAAAAAACAACCTCTAAAACATTGAGAACTACAAGAGGATTGAAGGGGGAAAAAAGGCGGGAAGTAAGAAAATATAAAAGTATAGTGAGTAGAGAAAATCAGATAAGATTTACCAGTCTCCTCGTAGCTCTAGCATATGCAGCTGTTGCAAGGTGGCTGCAATATCCTGAGGGCAAATACCAGTTAGCTTGGTAAGTCTTTTAATACTCAGTTGCCGCTCCTGATTTTGGTGCAGACACTCAAGTAACACACTCTTCCAATATGCCATGTAAGAGAGACGGCCCAGATCAGAGAGTGGCTTTTCTGGAGACCCAGCCTGTCCCTCACGCTTAGACAGGAGGTAACCTTTGAAAAAGGAAAAAATAAATTAGCAATAGGAAAATAAAGTGGTTTGTCGAGTGTATGGGTAGCTAATGCTCTTGCCATTTTTTTATTTTTTACGTTTTTGTACAAATCCAGTCAGAGTAAGCCACAATGCAGACATTTTGGTTAACAGATGTAGATTAAAGAAACATCAAGGGTTTAATCTAGAGACATTGAATGCATATTTTTTCACTTACTAAAATCTATGAGAAAGCGGCCATAACCCTTCCTCTGGTACTGGGGGAGGATCATTATGCAGGACACGTTGTATTTCTGCTGACAGTGCTTTTCCTAAAGATACAAGACAGTGAAAATGTTATGTGTTGCAAAAGAGAAAACAAAATATGCAATGAGCATTTATAACCAGCAAGCAATTCTTCCCTGCATAAGAAGATGTGGGCACTATGTGCTGGTATAACAATGCTATGCTATATTAAGCATTCAGATTTGACTGCTTTTTGACTCCCAATAATGACCCCACCAAAAGATTGCATACAAATGGCCTTCAGTCCATGATAGTGGTTAACATATAGTATTGTTCCTTCAGTACAAACCCAGAGCAGGAAGGTCAAGAGCAAGTCTGTTCTGCCACCTTGTGGACATGTTCTCAAATCGACTATCTAATGCCAGTAATAGGTGGAACAGACTGCAAACAAAATGTCACAGACATTGCTAATACATCTAGGCTTTTAAAAGTACAGTATTCTATTATCACTGTTAAAATTTCCAAAATGAGCTTGGTCAGAACAGTGAGCAGGAAACATATGTGCTGACTTAAAGGGACACTATAGTCACCAGAACTACAGCTTATTGAATTTGTTCTGGTAGAATCATTACCTTCAGGCTTTTTGCTGTAAACACTGTCTTTTCAGAGAAAATGCAGTGTTTACATTACAGCCTAGTGATAACTTCACTGGTCACTCCTCAGATGGCTGTAAGAGATCCTTCCTGGGCCATGGCTGCCTAAAATGCATCCAAGCATTCAGTATTTCCTCCCTCTGCATGCAGACACTGAACTTTCCTCATAGAGATGCATTGTTTCAATTCATCTATATGACAGATGTTGATTGACCAGGGCTGTGTTTGAATCATGCTGGCTCTGGCTCTGTCAGTCTCAGCTAATCCTATGGGGAAGCATTGTGATTGGATCAGGCTACCACTTCTGATGATGTCAGCAGGTAGTGGGCAGGTCAAAAGGAAACATTGACAAAGCAAGCAGCTCCAGACTTGAATACTAGTAAGATTTTACTATATTTAGGGAGGCATAAGTGGATCAGGGTGGCTAGATGGTGGTTTTAACCCTATAGGGTTAAGGAATACATGTTTGTGTTCCTGACCATATAGTGCTCCTTTAGTTTAAGTAGAAGAATGGGGGGACCTGCAACACAGTAAAAAAAAAAAAAAAATATATATATATATATATATATATATATATATATATATATATAAAAATGGGAGAAAGCCACCAACATGGCCTTGAGCCTTCTAATGCTCAAATTAAATTGTTTTGAGCAGTAAGATCCCCCATTTTAAGAAGCTTTCTCATTCTTCCCTGATCTCTCAGACCAATTTCCACCTAAAGTAGTGAAGGAAGAAGAGGCAACAAAAAGCACACAAATGTAAGAACAGCACATCTATTTTATGTTATCGTGAAATGTTGCACATACAGAGTATAAACCCTTTGTTGCATGAGGTGTAACTCCCACTAAAAGCAAATTTCAAAAGCACAGACACTCATTTGTAGGCGGAGAAGGTTCAGCGGATGATCTCAGCAAATAATAAGCGGCAGGATTGACATCCAGCTCCTGCATCTTTGCAGAACCTACAACCGAGACCTGACAGGACCATGTAAGAGACAGGCGCCAGATACTCCTACCTACCGCCATCACTAGTACAGTGAGCTATAGTGGCTGAAATCCTTTAGGTAAATGTTATAGCTTACTTAAAAAAAAAAAAAAATATTATGTCCCCTTTTGTTCTCTCTATACTGCCTCTCCACTATCACCTGTGGACACCCATATATATCTCCTCCCCTGACCTCTCCCCCACTGTCCTACAACGTGTCACCAATTCCCTTTCTTCTATCTCTGACTGGATGTCCTCCTGCTTTCTGAAACTCAATCTCTAAAACTGAGTTTCTTATTTTTCCTCCTCATAACACTGATCATCCTCCTTCACTCTCCCTGCAGGTTGATGGTACCTGCCTCACACCATCCTTTCAAGCTCGCTGTCTTGGTGTCACTTTTGATCCTGGCCTCACCTTTGCGCCTCAGGCCCAGTCTGTTGCTAAAAACATTGCCCACATACGCCCCTTTCTTACGCAAGATACTGCCAAGGAGCTTGTCCATGCTCTAATAATCTCTTCGATTACTGTTATTCTCTCCTAATTGGTCTCCACAGAAGCTGTAAAGCCCCCCTACAATCTGTGGTGAATGCTGCTGCAAGGCTGATCTTTCTCTCCTGTCGCTTCTCACACTGGCTTCATGTCCCCTACAGGTGTCAATTTAAAATACTAACCATTACCTATAACGTTCTAGCTAACTCTAGCCCCACTTTCATTTCTTCACTGATTCATAGGTATGCCCCCTCTCTGTCTCTCCGCTGTACTGGTGACCTTCTCCTTTCTGCTGCTCGCACCCTTACTGCAAATAAACGCCTGCAAGACTTCTCACTGGCGGCTCCTTTCGTTTGGAACAGCCTGCCTACCCCTGTCAGACTCTCCCCTTGTCTTCAATCCTTTAAGAAGTCCCTCAAAACCCATCTTTTCAGGATTGCTTATGGCCTCCAAGAGTAACGTCTATCTCTCAAACCTTCCTCTTGCTCTCTCCTAAAGGGCCACACTCCACTCTCACTTCCAGTTCTGCTACTTTCCCACCATGTCTATTTGCCGTCTATCTCAATACCCTTCCAATTGTGTTTTTATATCCCACCTCTTTTAGACTGTAAGCTCGTTTGAGCAGGGTTTTGAATAACCTATTGTTCCTATTACATTTTGTTACGTTTTGTGGTCTCATTTGGTAAATTCCCCTTTTATTGTAAAGCGCTGCAGAATAAGCTGGCACCATATAAATACTACTAATAATAATGTCCAGGATTCTTATGAAACACAGAGCAATGAGTACGGAGCTTCCTATCATAAAGTGTTGAAAGGTAAATATCCTACAGTGAGCAGCTCAAAATCATGTGTGTGATTTCCTATGTCTTTATTGCCATACAGGTTTACAGCTGCTTTTTGTATTTGTGGACCTTCGTGATGCAACAATCTTCTCTCAAAACACAAAGAAGAATTAACTGGTGGAAATGTTGTTTAAAAGCACTGTAGTGGTTTTGGTGCCCCAGTCTTTGTCCCTTCCAGTAATTCTCTATCAGACCTAAGCCCCAGTAGGACACAAGACATGGCTCATTGGTTGAGAGTCATAAACTAACGCTATCCCTGAAGGGCCACTGATGCTCCTAGCAGCAAAATTTTTCACTACCTACAATGGTGGGGGTGCCAAGGATACTACCACTATACAACATGCTTGGGGGTGTAGATTTTTATGGCAAGCGTCCACCTTTATTTTAGACAGCAGATTTCAAGTCTGTGTCATCAGCACTTGCACAAACTCCTTCCTGGGTCTCAAAGGGAGCATACTGAAGTGAACATAATAATCAACCAGGTTTCCTGCAGCATGTGCATCTCGTTAAAGCTTATGTGAGCAAAGCAAATTATAGTTAAAATATTACAGTAGCACATGTTAATCACAGCCACTCATGTAAAACAAAGCTTTCCTCAAAAAAAAAAAAAACACTTCACCAACTCTCTTTAGCACTCTAAAAATCTGCATTGCCCTATGTAACAAGAGGTGACATCACGCTGAATGTCACAGTGCTACAAACAGTTGGCACATCATTCTGGTGTGCAGCTACTGAACTAAAACACATAACTGACCTTCTGATAAACCAATGCTCCTTGCTGCCGAATATGTCTACTGACCAAAACTAGCATTTCCTTCAAAACAGCAGATCGTAGTAAATTGAAAAATAAAATTACTAGCCGTAGTAATGGCAATTACTAATTCTCTGAAAGGTTACAATTGTGTAATTAACATTTTCCTGTTAATTTCAAACTGAATACAGATTATAGAAAGCCTCATCGCTATGAACACTAAATTGAATGTGTACTCCGTTATTAACACTACCAGGTGATCCAAGTTTTCTAGTATCTTTTTTTTTTTTCTCTTTCACCATTTTGACAAAATTCCACATACACACTTATCAGTATCCAAAATAAAGTCGCATATAGTTAATAACCAGAGGATAAACCAAAGCTGAAAAGGAACAACCTTCCAAGGAGAATATCGATGGGGATAATTCACCAAATTATGAATTGTTTTTAATTCAAAGTGAATTACAAATTTTAGACAACCCAAAAAAAAAAAAAAACTGTGAAAAACATATTTAAAACTAAATTTGAAATTAATTTTCAATTAGAAAAATCTAAAGTATAAGAATAAAAGAAGTATAAAAGAATACCCATTTCAAAACAATGTCATAACTATCCAGCATAAAGGATTTGGCCAAACTTTTACCTGAAAGAGTTAAATTGACTGTCTAAACTGGTCATTCCATGTTGAGTAATCCAATACAAATTTTAATACAAGACAGGAAGTTTCATAGGAATTTTAAAAAGGCCAGGATTGAGATAGTTCAATAAAACAAGCATAATTGTGTTAACAAGTTTTGTTTGATATGCTACAAGACTATATATAATATAGTAAAAAATAATATGACATGGTAAATATATAGGAATATAAAAAATTGTGTTCCTTCAGAAGAGTACCCATATCAAGTTTCAAGCAGGGATCTGGACGGGAAGTAATATTCTTACTAATATTTCAGAATTATAATGTTGGATTTGCTGATATTTTGCAATATTGCAAAAATATATACTACACACATGTAATGATCTCAGTCATATACTACCCTGTCTCCAATATAATAAGATGATTTCAGAAATGCCAAACCTTATATTTAACATTTCAGGGTGTTTAAGTTTTCAATGCTTTTTTATGGAAAGCATTTCATTACCTTAGTGATATAAACTTGCATTTAATATATTTGTCTCCTCATTTGTCTCCATGTTTGATCCCACATTACTTCATGAACAGTAACTATAGAAGAAAGACTCACAACCCACTACCAGAGTAGTAGTACTTAAAAAAAAAAATTAAAAATATATATTTTTTAAATAAATAAAAGGGAAAAAGTAACAAGATTACCACATTCCACATTTTCAGCGTATGTGAAGAGAAAAAATAATAAATAAATAAATGTGTTTGAGGAGCATAAAAGATCTCAAGTTGTAACGTGACCTACAATGATAGCACAGAGACACAACCACACAGTCACGAGTGCTCATTACTCTTCCCAGTCAACTTGCCATCTGGAATTAGCTCATGGAGAAAGAATGGATCCTGAGTAACCTACTTAGAAAAGCAGCTGAATCAGAGGACAGCCTTATTCTAAAAGAGAAAAGACGTGTGGCACAGCAGACCATTCTAGCTTACCTTGGAGAAATATCCAACCAGGTGACAGCCTTTCTGGTCATTTTGTGTCAGAACATAGAAGAGGAAAGGTTCCACGTCGTAATAGAGAGTTTTGTGGTCAAGGAAGAGCTTAGCCAGAAGGCAAAGATTTTGGCAGTAAATGGTGCTCACCTTTCCATCCACCTAAAATAAGAAATGATAAATAAAACTCATTAAGGCACATTGACCAGCCACACCAACATTTTTATTCGTGACTATACATGTTCCTCAGGAAGACCCTACAGGGAAATGTAGGGCATAGTAGACTTGGAGTGCGTGGAGGGGAAGGTTTCAATTCGGACAAATAATTTTTCCAAAAATGTAACTTATTTTGTGACGTTAAACGCTTTTTCGTGTGATGATTCGGTGGAATGGTGAAAAACTATTCGGGAAAACATTCTGAGAGACCAAAAAGTGTACAAAAATGTGCCAGTGTACTGTAAAAAAGGTGTAGTGGCATTCACATTCCCCCCATCAATCATGCTTAGTTTTTTTCTCTTGGTGTTATGGATGGAATCCCTAATCCGGAAGAATTTGAACACACGCATCGCCTTCTCGTTTGCGCAGTTTAATTCTACATGGTGCTTGGGAGATAAAAAATTTCAGCCATCTGCCTGAATTACAGTTTATATGAAACGGATAACTGAAGTTTAGTGCCTAGTATAAAGAATACCAAATGTTGGCAAGCCCATCATATGCTCAAAGTTGGCATACTTAAAGGAAGACTAATATTAAAGCACTTCAGCTTGCTTAGGTACTTTAAGAATCAACTGCATGTCCACTAAAGGGTATAAATGTGCCAATTGTAACGGAAAACTGGCACATTTTTTATTGATTTTAGCAACACATCTAAATCTTGGTAAACCTGACAGCCAAAAGGGTTTCTTGACCCCCTAGCTTTTAGCTATTGTTCAAAGTAGAAGTGAGTGCTTCAGTGAGAAGCATCATATTGACAGAGTATGGTGATTGCTTCACATGTGCTGTATGGCCCCAAAGCTTCTCTATGAGACTGAGATCTTGGACTAAGATCATCAGTATAGATCTCACTGTGTAAGGAGCATGTTAGAGAGCAGAGACTTTAGTTAATCTCTCTCAGGCACTTTCTTGCTCCCAACTCTGGACTGAGAAGAAGTAATTTAACATGTCAGAATAGCCTTATTTGCATTATTTGCTAAAAATGTTCTGTTTCCTCAAAAGATTCATAGGAGCAGTTTGCTCATTTTGACTCCTGAGAATTGTGTGGTCTTAACAGGCTTCTTACCAAAATGTTTCTCTATAATGAATGGTCCTGGTAGTGTGCTTTAGACCTGTGTTTACTGTATCCTTAGATACCCTCCTCTATTTAATTTGGCGGTTAAGGGACATCAATGGCTGTTTAGTTGCTGGTAAGTCAGTAAAGCGTCAGTCTATATTACTAACACCTTGCTATTCTCTAATAAGTCATGTGATTTGATTCGCTAGCTACTTTAATAAATATCTTGGAAATAGTCTAATGGGTCTCAGGATAGAAGGTGAATATTGATAAGACTGCAGCTCCTCTTCTCATTGCCCCTCAAATCTTAAAACACCACTTCAGTCCCTTAAAGCACTCAGCTTGCTATGTTATATTGACTGCATACAGTCCTAACTCTAGCATGTAAGCTCACTGAGCAGGGCCCTCAATCCCTCTGTCCCTGTGTGTCCAACTCGTCTGGTTACCAATACTTGTCTGTTAGTCCACTCTATTGTACAGCGCTACAGAACTTGTTGGCGGTTTATAAATAATAATAATAATAACTGGTTTTGTACAATGGCATGAAGTATTCATCTGCTCAATAAAGCAGATGCATAAAAAAGAGCAAGAGAGAGCATGAGATGAAGAGGAAGAAAAGTTGCTCTACTTTATAGATTCACAAACGTGAAGATGAAACTACAATAACTACATAAGCCAATGCACAACTGTGTGTCACCCTTTGTTGAAGAAGAATGCCAATTTGGAGTATTACGACACTTACCTCAAAAACTGAAAGGTTGTCCTTGCGATAAATTTCATTGGCAGGTGGGTGGTACCAGCTGCATTTTTTTGTATGTTGCTGTAGCATAGCACGACTTTTCATGTAACGGAGACAGAATTCACAAAGGTACAATTTAGGAAGCCTGCCAGAAAACGATATAAGTTAAAATACAGACATGCCGACATACGGATATTTCCAACAAAGAAGTGTAAAATTCCATTAGAAATAAACCAATCCTTTAACTAAGCCACTTGGATACCCTTGGTTAGTGTCAAACTGCATGACATTGGTTTGAAAGAGAAAGAGAGACAGATGTTTGATCACTACAGGGAGTTATGGTGCTTGGAGGCTGCAGTAAGTGAGACAGACAAGTTATGGGCAAGTTCCATGCGGACTTACAGGGAGAAGGTCAGAGGCAAGGACCTGGCCATTCCTTCTTAACAATTATCTCTAGAGCAGAAGCACATCATTTTTTGTTTTGTTTTTATGCTGCACTGAAGTAATGAAAATAAATAATTTTGAACATATCCTATATCAGCTGTAACTTTATTGTAATTTGTTTTCAACATCAGGATTCCAAAACTTGCTCTTCATATAACTCCTGTCATGGAGCCACTGAACAAGAAGGAAAACGCTAAAACCTTTACTTGTGTAATCTCTGCCCTTACCTTGTGTACTCCTGTGGATATGGAGAAGAGTACCACGTCTGTATCTCATACTTCCCAAACTCTATGACTGAAGGGCAGCGTACCTGTGGGTCAGGGGGGCCATTAACCCCAACTTTCTGCAAGATAAACAAGAAGCGAACAGAAGTTATACATGAAACTGACTGGATCAGAGACAGTGAGAGAAGTAGATAATGGAACGGACTGTAAAAAACAGTAATATCACAAAGTCTGACTCCAGAAATGCCACATATTTAAAGAGCTTACCCACCACTGGGAATACTAAGTCAATCTCTAGCTTACATGCAATTGCATATGTTATAGCAAATGAGAAAAAGTTTTGAGAACTCCAGATCTCTAAAAGCTAGATATATTTTACATAAATGGATGTGAATAACCGCGTCCTCCTGCAGATACCAAGCTTGCAGCAGCGTGATGCTGGTCCCATCTCAGGCTGAAAGGCAAGAGAGTCGCCTCACACTTGTCCAATAAGGCTGCCCACCCTTACACATTATACCCAAGCGAACGTTCTGAATCCAGCCAGGGTATTGGATGACTGCCTTCCAGGTGGATCGGAGCAGCCAGCCTGACATGCAAGCGTACCTTCTCAGAATACTCATGACACTGCAATATATCTATCTATATGACACTGTGCTCCCCATGCACCTTTTGTTTGCCTTTATTACTTATGATTTCCAGCAGTGCAACACTTTTTGAATTAAGGCAGCAGGGGATATCTATACCTAACAAGCCTCTAACTACTCCCTCAATACCCTGTCTGATAATCTTGATAAAGTCTAGTTCAAGCAACTTAAGCTAAAGTCTAGCTAGTTAGGCAATATTTAACTGCCTCTAATCACTATTACACTTTAGAATCACTGTATGTTTACGGTCTCAAGTTTGACGATCCCAACGTGACCCACCACAATAGACATACATAGTTAGCCTGTATTTAGCTTGTCTTATAAATTTTAGAAAATTGTGGTTTTCTCTGAATGCCGTGCAAATGTTAACTAATGCTTGTTTTCAAATCGCCTGTAACTGCGGTCGTGGCATTGCAAGCATGCTTCTGTTATCTCATGCACAAAAAAAAAAAAGGACTCTAAACAGTAAGTTGTCAGGGCCATTCTACTAATCCTCAAACACCTATTTCAAGCTACTAGTGTCTCTTTAAATACTATGGGTATTAAGAGTGACACGCTGACAGAAATTCAACTTAAAGATGAGAAAATATAACAAGCTTATCACTTTTCACAAGCAATTAGCAGTATATTGCACTGGTTTCAATGGCATAAACTCCACTTCTAGACTTTTGCATAAAGACTGCTCTTGGTAGAGGACCTTTAATTTGAAATTTTTAAGACTGATCTGTTTTAAATGTGAGGTTTACATGAGCATGAACCAGGGCAATTAAATATCTGGTCATAAGTATGTAAAGATTAGCAGATTGCGTTTTTAAATATACAGCAAATTTGATTCTCCATCACAATTTTTTTTTTTTTTTTTTTAAGAGTAGCTATAGCACAATCTATAACAACAGTATTTAAGTGTCAAACGATTCTTTACACTAACAAGTTAGTAGTGATGGTCACCTGCAATTACACACTTACAATTGTAGTATATTTACATGTTATATAAAACGAACATCACAGTGCCCAGTGGGACTCCAAAACTACTTGTTCACCTGATTCTGGAGTGGTGTTAAGTCCTGTAAGAGGTCTTACACCTAAGCATGTAAGGGTAACTGACCTGAGAGAATTGCAGTTGATTGTGGGCTTCCTTTCCCAAACTTTCCTCCAGTTGAATGCCAAGTGTCAGGCTGGTCCCAGGACTCCAATACAGCTGTTTGCACATTGTGTGAACACCTGAACTGAGTTGGGGTGCACATAAGGTGCTCTTTTTTTCCCTCCCTTGTTTCTTATGTTCTCCACTCTTGTTTGTGTCTCTTTATCTGACCTCCCCTGGGCTCTCCCCTCCTCTATCCCTCCCCCTCCACCCTGTGCCTAGGTGACAGAAGCAGGGAATTCTCCTGTGGGTATATGCACGGCTGTAAACGTCTTCTGGGTACATGGCAATTAACTAGCAGAGTGCTGGGGAAGTGACCAAAATAAAACATACACATAGGGAAAAGATAAACAAGAGGCTATCCTGATACATTAAAAATATCTACGGGAATAAGATTAATTGCTTATTAATATTAACAGTGAGGTTTTCTTGTACTAAAATATTTTATTTAAACCACGGTGGCCAACAGGTGTCAGCCCTGTGTCCATGTTACGAATGCACCCTATAGAGAGCATAAAAAGTAATGCTGTGGGAACAATCGTTTACATCTTGGTCCAAGGTGGCTGTCAAATGTAAACTTGCCACTGCTTATAGAAGAGAGTGATGCAGAAGAAAAACAAACACATGAACCAGGTGTTATTGACTGCTTTAAAATACATACACCATGGGCGCTAGGATGTGTGATCACGCTGTGTATAGTAAAAGATTGAATAAAACTGAACTAGGAAGTGAAACATTAAATAAACCCTAAGGAGTGTATACTAGAGCCCGATGCCACTAAATGCTTTACAGCGCAATATACATTAACTTTAAGAGTGCTAGTGAGAAATGTAATGCATTAGTAACCACACAGACAATGATACTAGGTCCGCAGCATCTTAAGCTTTAACTCCACTTGTGATCATTTTACCAGGTTAGTAGCTATTAGACACACAAAAATAGTTGAATAAAAAAAAAAATAATAATAATAAAAAGAACAGTGCAAACTGATTAATCCCAGAAAACCGTTACTCTGTCTATTTTCTGGCTGCTAAAAATATATTAACATACTTTATTTTCCATAGAGAAGCACCAAAGTTAGATCCTAACACCTTATGCACTTAATGTCTACTTTAAAGAGACACTATAGTCGCCAAAACAGTTTTTGTGTATAGATCATGCCCCTGCAGTTTCACTGCTTAATTCTCTACCATTTAGGAGTTAAGTCACTTTGTTTATACAGCCCTAGTCACACCTCCCTGTATGTGACTTGCAGAGCCTTCCTAAACACTTCCTGTAAAATTACATCTAATATTTAAACATCCTTTGTTTATCCTCTGCTCTGTTAATAGTCTTTTGGACCCTGCTGTGTGTGATTAAAGTTATATTTGCAGTGCAGGAGATAAAAACTTTAAAAGCAAGTTGACTTCTGATTAAAAGTGAAAACATTTTTTACGCTGGCTGTGATGGAGATGTGACTAGGGCTGCATATGTAGAAAAAAAATTTAACTACTGAATTGTTGAGAATTGAGCAGTGACACTGCAGGGGCACGAACTATACACCAAAAACTGCTTTATTAAGATAAGGTTGTTTTTGTGACTAGTGTCCCCTTCAAGTCTGCCAACCATCCGCAAATATAAATGGCATAAAAATAAAATGAAACTGAAAATACACATAGCTTTCTGTGGGAGGGTGGAGATATTTTTACCTGCAGTGCCTGCTCCTGGATATCTTGGAAGAGCTCAATTTCTTTCTCTGATACCACACCAATTCGATCCTCACTATCCAGCTTGCTGTCCCAACCATCGTGATTGTCTGGGCATGAAAAGGAAAGGGTTTACATAACATACAAATGCCGTATAATTATAGCGCATAATGTTTGTGCAAGAATGTGTGAACATCTTGACTTCACATTTAAAGTGTGTAATCACAAGAACAGCTCTTTGCTATCTATAGCCCTTTCTCCTCACATCCCGAGGCTCTGCTCACCCCAGTCTGACTGTCCAGACTTTCGTGGTCCTCTCTTGCGGGACCGCTGTAGGGAGTAATCAAGTGCCTCCGCTCGTGCCTTGCGTCCATCAGGTGAGGGAGTGAAGAACTTTGTCAAGCCATCAATAAGACCCTTAGTTTTTTTGTTAAAAGGAACTGTTGTACCAGAGCCAGCAGAAGGGTCAGTGCTCCTGCCATCTTCTTCTGATGATGATGATGATGATGATGATGTGCAAGATGAGAGCTTACGTCTTCTCCCTCGACCTGGATTACCCCGACCTTTCCCAAATGGGCCTTTAGTCCTGTAAGAATTCAAAGAAACAGTCAAAAAATTACTTTGATTTTAGGTAGAAGAATATTGTGGAGTTATGCACTCCATTACCTTTTAGTGATAAAAGGTCCACTATGCAAATAAAACCAAACATTGGCTCTCCTCAGGTCCCCAAGCTCTGCTCACCCTTGGAGAAGTTTATTTTTTTTAAATAGAATAGAGGAAGACACTCACGTTGCACTCTGCTTCTTTAAGCGATTCTTGGGACGCCCAATGGGGTTAGTGTAACGTCTCCGAATCTGTGCGGCTTTCTTATGAAGTAGCTTTCGACCTTTTTTCCGAGGTCGACAGATCTGACATATCCACATGCCTGAAAATAAATGCATGGTTAATAACTGGAGTCACTTGAAAAATTGAGAAACAAACAGGGAGAAGAAGGGTGGGTGGAGGAAGAAGGGAAAGTCATATGTAAGATTAGGAAATGTTGGATGTGAAACAAACCTAAAGAGAGAGACTTACAAATCATACATTACATGTCCTATGTTTCATTAAAACGACTATAGTTTATTGACACTGGAAGTTCCAAATTTCAAACTGTTTCACCAAGTCATTTTATTTTTAACTTAAATTTTTGGGGTATTAAGTAGATTTAGATTCCAATCCCAAACACTTACCTTTCGGCATTCTGGTAAGAGGAGGCTCACAGCATTCCATGTGAAACCCGCGGTCGCATGAATCACAGAACAGCATATTGTCCTGAGAAAAATACAAAAATAAATTTCAGTGCATTTCTTGTTTCTGCAAGACTAAGTGAAGTATTGACCACAAATTACAGGTAAAAGAAAAACCCAACTCAAGCTTTGACAAAGAAAGAACGAAAGATAAACCAGATTTTACGAAATTTCTAATTGTATCACAACATGGAAAGATTTCACCTGGACTCCAAAATGGCAACTAGATTTGCCTTGGGAAACACTCACATATATTGGTCATGGTCCCTCTCTATGAGGGGGAAGTATATATTGTTCTTTATTTAATATGTACTGTATTAAATTTATTATCTACTAAATTGTGGGATTTTACTTCATATGGCTCGATATATGGATACAAAGGATTATGAATTAAAATAAATGGAAAATGGGATATCTCCACTCAGCTACCTCCAAGTAACTTTACAATTTGAGTGACAGAATGCTTTTGATGACTCTTTAAAGGGTTACGCCAACCATATTATCTAATACAGCCGGCTGTACTAGTTATAAAGGTTGTAACTGGACAAACTGTTTTAAAACGGTCTGTCCTGTTACCTAGTCCTGCCTGGCACCTCCAATGTAGGTAGATTTAGGACATCCCGCCTCTCATTCTTTGGTGGAGAGAATCAGCTAACCGCTATCAGCCAGTGAATGCAAATTTGTGCATAGGAATAATTCCATTAGCCGGCCAGAAGTCTTGTCCCCGGGATGCCAGATGACTGCCCATGACGCTGCTGAAGGTGGAGTTTCATCTCAGCAGTTAAGGTGTTAAACATGGTATGTGTAGCATTTCACAGTGAAAGGTTTTACATACAGAGTCCAGGCACCATGATCACTCTGCAGGAGCCTTTTGTATGGGATTAAAGTTCAATTTACAGAGCAGGAGATTTAAAAAAAATAAAATAAAATAATTAAACAATTTTAAAAACTTGTAAAGCAAATTAACTTTTATTCAAAAACGAATAAGTGTTCTTTTATACAGGCTGTATTTTTTACTTATACATTATGCAGTAGGCATCACGGGATTGTGATACACTGAACGAATAAAAAGTTGCATATTAATAATACAAACTAGAAAAGCAGAATTTTAAATAAAAAAATTTTTTTTAAAAAGAGCAAAGCAGGTGACAGATCTTTTCAAATTGATTAAGGAAATATTTTACTGTGTATACTCACAGCATTTTTGCCCTGGTCACGGCATGAGCTGCAGGTCTTGCACTCGATGCATTGCCAGCGGAGGGCTTTCACTCGAACCGTTAGCTCTGGGGAGAACTTGAGACAGGATGGGTGACCTACGAAAGAGTGGACAAAATTTATGATATGCGATAAACAGAAAACTTGAAGCAACATTTTTTACACTTTATATATACAGGGCTCACAATTTCCACTAGAAATTAACCCCTGGTGAGAATGCTATGGCAAGTAACTATTAAAGACTGACTAGTAAAATATGACTTTAAATTTTAAGAAGGGCGAGAGTGGAATAATACACACAAACATGCAATAGAATAAGTAGTATTAAAATAAATAAATTGCTTAGTCAGACCCTATGTATAAAAAAAAAAAAAAAAAACACGATATTCACTAGAACCACTACAGCTTAATGCAGTTCTTATGTTTATAGCCTGTGCCTGCAGGCTTTCAGAGAAAAGGCAGTGTTTACATTGCTGCCTAGTAACACCTCTAGTACAATTTCAATGCATCTCTATGAATATATGCTGGTTGACGCAGGGCAGAGTTTTGGCACAATGCCCAACAGTATCTCAATGCTTTCCTATGGGAAAACATTGGATTGGCTGAGATTATCAAGACTGATGGTCTCATCCATGGGGGCCAGGCGTGTCAAGCCACGGCATGGAAAGGTGGGAGAAAAGGTGAGTAAAATCACCTTTTTACTGTGATCTAAGGGGGCAGGGGACCTAAATAGTTAAACACTACAATGTCAGGAATGAGGATTTTGTTCCTGACACTATAGTGTTCCTTCAATTTGTAAGCATTGTTTTCACATCTAATAGGCAATAGAAGTTCTAGATGAAAAGATGTACAGAAAAGTATTTCTCACTCTATTCATAATGCCTTTCCATGTATTTAAGGCTCTGTGCTGGAATACGTATTAGGAAGAATGAATAATATATATGCAGTTTGTTACAAAGAAGACATCTTCTTTGTTGCAGTTTTTAACATATTAGCTGAGAGCAAAGTCTTAAAGGGATACTATAGTCACCTGAACAACTTCAACTTAATGGGGTTGTTCAGGTGAGTACAATAGCTCTTTGCAGGCTTTTTCATGTAAACATGGTTTACCATAGAACCTAGGAACACCTCAAGTGTGAACGCGCCTCCTGTGTCCTGTAGAAACCCCGAAAGGCTGTCAGCAGCTGACAGTGTGGAAGATAAAGAGTAAGTGAATGAGGGTGAGTGAGAGAGTGAAAGTGAGAGAGAGAAAATATGAGTGATAGTGAGAGAGAGAAAGTGAGAGTGAGTTAGTGAGAGTAAGCGAGAGTTAGTAAATAAATGAGTAAGTGAGCAAGAGAGTTAGTGAGCGAGAGAATTAGTGAGTGAGAGTGTGAATGAAAGTGTGTGAGAATGAGAGTGTTGATGAGTGAGTGTGTGAATGAGAGTTAGTGAGTGAGTTAGGTAGAGATCTTTACATAAAGTGTGTCTATACAACACACAAACTTTATATACATTGTGTAAATACGCTATATTTTCTGTAGTGTAGTGGATGCTGCCTTCGGGGATCTGGGCTGGGTATAGCAGCGGAGGGCATAGACCGCAAACGCCTCGAACATGTGCAGTGAAGCGCTCAATTCTAATTCAGAGTGAACTCTGCTCTCTGATGACGCTGATGATTTGTGGAGCTCTATGCCGCGCATGTGCAAATAAGGACGATGACGCTTCAATGAGAGAAGTGTTTGGTTGAGCCCTTAAAAACAGTCATTATGACAAAAAAATCTCGGCGCTGGAACTCAGGTAAGTTTTTTTAATTAATCAGCATTATAAATGAAAAATTTGGGGGGATAATAAATACTAAACAATAGGAATAAGTCTTGGGAACATAAAACTAGAGTTTTACAATTGTGACTATAGTGCTCCTTTAAAAGGACACTGTAGGCACCAAAACAACTTCAGCTTAACAAACCAGTTTTGGTATATAGATCATGTTCATGTAATCTGTTTACTTCGGCCGACAGACAGACACTCTTTTGGAGCACAGTTTCGATAGTTCCTGAAGGCAGGGCAATTACCTCCAGAAGGAAGTAATGAAGTCTACTCCGGAAGTCAGCATTGCTGACAGCTGGATTCAAGAGCCTGGGTATTATTGATGCCCATCGGTTATGTGCCATCTGGCATTCTATACTATTACATCGCGTAGAGCTGAATGTTCAGAGCTTCATAGCCTGAGCAGTCTCTATCTGCTCGATGTTTGAGGGTCATTCAGTCCATTTATATTTCTTTGTATTAATATCAAACACTAACACTAAATATTTTGTACCTCCCCTTTTTTATATATCATTTGAACGGATACACAATTTTCCATAAGTATCTAAAGTGCACAGTGCACCTTTGTTAAAAAGGTCTTTATTACATATATATATTTTTATACAATGCACATTTGTTGAAAAATACTTTATTGCAACAAAATCTTTTACACTGTGCACTTTGGTTGAAAAGCACTTATATAGATTTTCATATCTAGAAAATATTATTGTATTTTTGTCACAAATACTGAATATGATTTAAAGACACAGCTCACTTTTTTATGATAAATATTTATCACAGCAGATCAAGAACAGATCAGCACAATCGAATAATTAAATATATCTACTAACAGGCCAGGATGCTAAAAGCCTTGAGTCTATGCAGGGAATTGACTCACTGGGGCACCACTGTACTTGTTATGACACCATGTGGAGATAGTAAGTTATTACACCTGGTTTTTTTTGTTGTTTTTTTTTTAGCAAGCAACGTATGTAGGTCTTTTGATGCAATAGACCAGTCAAGGCTATAAGTTTCTCTCCCCCAGTATATACTGGTCAAACATGCATAGTCACATATCAAGAGGCACTCTATCCAAATGCATACACAGACACAGTAATACACAAACATAATGAAATACGTTTTTTTTTGTTTTTTTTTATTGAATACCCTACTGCTCTCCTTCCCTGTGCAGCTCATGTTTGTTGGCACCATGGGGAGGAAAGGAGTCCAGGTTACCATAGACCAATGTTTTAAGCAGTGTGGAAGCAGGGTCTCCTTTCTCGTAGACAGTATATAACTCTGCACCCACTGCCAATATCAGCGATGCAAGGCACTTGTCAGTCTATGCCAAAACAGATTCTCCCATCCACCTCTCCCCTTCAACAAACACACATAAAAACATCCACATTACAAAGAAAATACTTGTTAGCATGTAGTAAACATTTCAACCATGTTGATTTTGAGTTAATCATAGGTCCATGTTAAGATTTTTAAAAAAATTATAAAAAAATATATATATATATATATATATATATATATATATATATATATATATATATATATATATATAAAAACTTTTAAAATTTGCATATGTGATTTTGTAGATAAAATTGTATGTTAAAATGTGTACGTATAAAATAATTAAATTAAAACATATTACTTACATATATGACACATTTTCCAGTAACATAAATAGATATGGTTGGCATTTACCTTCCGGATTACACTACTAACTCTTTTGTAATAACACCCACATTCCCCTTTAAAGGACCACTCTAGGCACCCAGACCACTTCAGCTTAATGAAGTGGTCTGGGTGCCAGGTCCAGCTAGGGTTAACCCATTCTTTTATAAACATAGCAGTTTCAGAGAAACTGCTATGTTTATCAATGGGTTAAGCCTTCCCCCAAATCCTCTAGTGGCTGTCTCATTGACAGCCGCTAGAGGCACTTGCGTGATTCTCACTGTGAAAATCACAGTGAGAGTACGCAAGCGTCCATAGGAAAGCATTGATAATGCTTTCCTATGTGACTGGCTGAATGCGCGCGCAGCTCTTGCCGCGTGTGCGCATTCAGCCGACAGGGAGGAGAGGAGGAGGATCGGAGGCAGAGAGCTCCCTGCCCAGCGCTGGAAAAAGGTAAGTTTTAACCCCTTTCCCCCTTCCAGAGCCGGGCGGGAGGGGGACCCTGAGGGTGGGGGCACCCTTAGGGCACTATAGTGCCAGGAAAACGAGTATGTTTTCCTGGCACTATAGTGGTCCTTTAAGTATGTGTGACTCATTATCTCCTGTTCCAGTACATACATATTTTTGTTATCAAACACTTGTATCATTTTTTTTTTTTTTACCCAGTGTAGAGTGATTTATATATTAAGAAGACAAGGCAAGAAAAAGTTTCTGATGTTCTCCCACCAAAAAATAAAGGCAATTAAAAATATATTTTTTTACAGGTTGTACAGCTACATGTGTATATGTATATATACATACACCAACATCCATCAAAACAGAACATATATACAAAATGTGCACAATGTGATTAGAGGAATTGAAATGCAATTGCACAAAGAAGAAAAAAAAATAATTAGGTAAAGTTAAGTCCTGTATGCAAATAGGTATTAAATGACTTTGTTAATTTCTAATCAAGGTATGTGATACCATGTGGACTTCTATGATCTATTTCAGCAATGGATAACCTTTGAGACTCCAAATATGTGATCCTCATAGGAAAGGATGGTCAAAATAAATTTGTAGTGCTATAGAGTAGCCTTTGATAGTGTTTTCAGTCGTTGTACAGAGATGCAGAGGGCCTATGTAGAAGGTATAGAGGATTGAGGGCAATCTAATGTCAGGGATGGACAGGCGGCAGGCCTCAACTCTCAAATTTGGCATGCTGCCCTGCAATGAATGACTCACTGGGATCGCTCTGCAGAATATGGCTGTGGGAAGGTCTATTGTTTTGTGTCACTGGTCTACTTACCACTGTTTCCACAGTCTGCACATGATATCAGCTCTTCTGGCTTCTTCTCTCTGTTATGCTCCTTCGTTCCCAAACAGAAGCTGCATATGGGTATGGGATCAGCTACAGGCTGCAGAGACAAAGAGGGACATGAGCTCTGAGGTACAAAAATAATTTGTAAAAAGGTACAATTCTCCAAACCTTTGTAGATTATGCATCACATACTCAAATGTACACACATTATAAAAGGTTTTTTTTTTGTTTTTTTTTAAATGAACACAAAAAAAAAAATACATTCCTATTATATAAGTGGGATCCAACATTTAACAAACTGGAGATACATAGCACAAGAGTTCTAATTGTACATATGGGAAATACAGTAAGTATTTGGAGAAAACACACACACACTTTGTTAAGTTGTAAACTATAGAAAGGAAGGAACTGTTAGTACCAAGGGAAGCTAAATGTAAAATAGATTAAAATGGCCAAAATCTCTTTAGCTTGCCACCATTTGGATTTCATAGGAGTTTAAACTCCCTTGTGCCATTACTTAAAGGGAGACTATGGTCATCAGAACTATAGCTTAACGTAGCTGTTCTGGTGAGTATAATCATTGCCCCTATCGACACCTCCAAGTGGCCACTCCTCAGATGGCCACTGGAGGTGCTTCCTGAAGCATTACTGCACAGTAGGCAGCACTGCCGTTCAGCATCTCCACCCTCTAAATGGGGACGCTGAATTTTCCTCATAGAGATGCATTGAGATATATTATATATATATATATATATATATATATATATATATATACACATATATATATATATATATACACACACACACACCAGGGCCGTCTTTAATAACGAATGGACCCTGGGCAAGTGTTTGCTTGGGCCCCCTGTGCCCTGCCGCTCTCGCCCCTCACTCCCTGGTATGCAATCACGGCATCCATCCCAACGCAGTGGCGGTACTAAAGTAGAATGAATTTTATTGGGACCCCCAATTGCAAGGTTGGACTAAAGGTAGAACTCCATCTGTCGTGCAACTCCAACAATGCTTTGACAGCTGGGACTCTACCAATTTCCCATGCTTGCAGGGTTGTATTTAGCACTGAGCCATGTTAGTATGTTTGAATGTAAGCATGTGTTTGTATGGAGTATGTTTGTGTGAATGTGTTTGTATGTGGTACTGGAGTTTGAATGCAAGTGTGCATTTATGTGTAGTGTTTGTTTTTGAATGTAGGAGTGTGCTTGTATGTAGTGTTGACGTTTCAATGCAGGAGTGTGTTTTATATGTAGTGTTGAAGTTTGAATGGAGGGGTGTATTTGTATTTAAAGTTGCGGCTCAGATGCACAGGTACACACTCTGACGCACAAGCAGATACACAGATACATACACTGACTACATACAGATAAACAGGCACATACACTGACAGACACACTGACACAGGTACATATATTGACACACACACAGACACATACACTGGTAGACGTACTGACAGACATACTGACACAGGCACATATACAGACATACTGACACACAGACACATATACCGACATACTGACACACACACAGACACATACACTGATCAACATATTGACACACATACACTGACAGAAATACTGACACACACACACACAGTCACATACACTGACACACACACAGACATACTGGCACACAGACAGATATACTGACACATGCATACACATGCACTAACAGACATACTGACGCACTGACAGACATACTGACACACACAGATATATACTGCACACAGACAGACAGAACTATGCTGCACACATACACTAACACACACATACACACACAAACACACATACACAAACACACACTATACACATACACACTACAGCACACACACACACTAACACACATACACAAACACACACACACACACTAACACACATACACAAACACACACACACATAACACACATACACAAACACACACACACACACACTAACACAAACACACATACACTAACACTAACTTACATACACTAACACACATACACTAACACACATACACTAACACACATACACTAACACACAAACACACAAACACACACACTAACACACACATACACTAACACACAAACACTAACACACAAACACTAACACAAACAAACACACACTAACACACACACTAACACACACACTAACACACACACTAACACACATACACTAACACACAAACACATACACTAACACACAAACACATACACTAACACACAAACACATACACATACACTAACACACACATACACACACACAAACACATTTTTTTTTTTTTTTAAATGTAATCCGCCCAGCCTCCTTACCTTTTGGAGTGCTGGGGGGATTCCCTGGGGTCCAGTGGTGCTGCTGGGCTCCTGGGCGGGTGGCCGGTCGGGCAGGAAGGCAGGCGCGCGAGGGAGCACTCGCTGCTTCCTCTTCAGCTCCCTCGCGCGCCGCTGACGTCATCTTCCGGCTCCGGCATCAGTGCGGTGCGCGAGGGAGCTGAAGAGGAAGCAGTGAGTGCTCCCTCGCGCGCCCGCCTTCCTGCCAGACCGGCCACCCGCCCGCCGGGGTCAGCGGGGCCCACGGGGCAGGTGCCTCGGGCCCCCCAAGAGAAACTGGGCCCGGGGCAGCTGCCCCGTTTGCCCCGCGTTAAAGACGGCCCTGACACACACATATACTGGAATGTATAAGTAGATGCATAGTTGGTTGAGGTGTGCCGAAACCAAACAAGTAGGCTTGTAATAAAAGAGGGCAAAAAGGAGGATGCAAAAAAAAAAACAACACACTTTATTGCCTGTAATAAAGTGTGTGGTTTTCTTTTTTTTTTTTTGCATCCTCCTTTTTGCCCTTATTGCTTGTTATAATGCTAGACATTTAAATGCTTGTCTTAGTTCTTACTCCGGTCCTGGTATATAAATATTGTAAATTGAAGATTTCCAGTGACCCAGTCTCTTGATGATGTGGACTGGTGTGCTAAATGCTGCTGATGCTGCACATATACGGGAGGAGTGACCAGGGTTGAAGCAGGGTTGAATCCTAACCTTAACAGCAGAGTTCTGACGTGAGACGTGAACTTAGCCGTGGTGAGAGGGTGCCCTTGGAGTAGTAGTAGTGGAGTGTCAGGTGAGTGCATGAGGTGAGAATTTAGGAAAGTGTTGAGTACTTTAACTGGGCACCAGGCATGCCCGGTAAGGAAGAGAGGAATGGTAGTGGGATGATTGGTGTGGTTTGTTTTGGTCGAAAGTAACGAAAGGACGTAGTGGTCATTGACTTTCGTTAGGTGAGAAAGCTTTAACTGGCGTACGACAGTAAACTCCTTAGGTCTTTGAAAGCCATAGAAAGCAATGAATATGGCGGCTTTGATAACTGAGTTTGTTCAAGAATGGAAAGGGGATTTGTCTAGGAGGTCGCTGAGTTGTCTAAATATAGGCCCATCAATGGGCAGTCTGCTAGTTGCACGTGGGCCTGTGACTTTATGAATACCTTTTAAGATATTCTTAATTGGGTATGATGCTAGGAAAGGTGTGTGATTGGGAAAGTTGGTGAGAACGTGGTGCTGTACTCCGGTGAGATAAAGCTTAATGGTGTTGTGAGATAATTTGAGGTGTAAGTGACAGAAGGAGGCAAAAGCCACCATGGTTTTAATGGAGAAATCACCTTGTAAGTGAAATTCGGCAGAGAACTTCTGGAAAATGATCAATGCCCTGGCGTAAGTGGTAGTGGTGTTGGTTGAGAGTGCGTGGTGCGTGAGTGATTGTGCGTGACGTAGTAGTTCAGACAGTCTATTAGTAACTCGTAGAATGGTGGTATCCTAGATGGTAGGTGGTGGGCAGTAGGGAGTGCCTGGAAGAACACATGAAAATGAGAGCGGGAAAGAGCATCAGCAGCTGTGTTACGAATACCAGGTATGTGTTCGCAGACAAGGTGAAACTGAGCAGTTGCTGCTAGCCAAGTCAGCTTGCGAACCAATCTCATGATGGTTATAGAGTAGGACCACCCCTCAGGCTGCAGAACTGTCAGAGCAGCATTTGACTGCCATGCCAGTCCATAGATGACCATGTATGAGCAGCCGTCAAAATGGGGTAAACCTCAAACAAGGCGGATGTCTCTCTAAAAGACCGACAAGGCATTTGTCTCAGTGGGCCAGTTATCCCTAAACCAGTGGTTGCCAAATATTGCGGCAAACCCAGTGTGCGCTGCTGCATCGGTGTAGATTGTTGGAGATGAATGGGGGGGAAAGGGGGGGTGATGAACAGGGAAACACCATTCCACTTGGCCAAGAAGTTCCTCAACATAAGCAAGTCTGCCCTGGCAGGGTCGTTTATGGTAATTGTACCGGAGTCAGGCACCCCATGTAGTAGACACAGCAGCCTAGAGACAAATGATCTGCCTGAAGAATGATCCGCATAGCGAAGTTAAGGGACCCCAATAAAGACTGGAGTCCCTTTCTAGTGCACGTATCACTCCGCAGGAGCAGACTGATTTTGTCTCTAATGCGGGCCAATTTTTATGGTGGTTGGGTAACTTGAAATTACTGTGTCAAGAGCGATGCCCAGAAAGACTAGTTTCGTGGAGGGCCCGAGTGTTTTTACTTGGGGACAGGGGCACCCCTAGTGCTGTGAATAGGGCTGTGATGCTGTGAATGCTGCTTGGTGCATGGGAGCCAGGTTCTACCAACAAAAAATCATCAAGTAGTGTATCACTGACGGACACCTCACTATATTCAGGAGCAGCCAGCAGAGGGTTTCCGCATATATGTCAAATAACTTAGGGCTGCTCCTAGACCCAAAAGTGAGCCAAAAAAAAAAAAAAAGTACCTGTCCTGCCATTTAACACCGTGTAAGTGCCATAGTGATGGGTGAATGGGTAGTTTTACTCAGCCATGCCTTGCTACCTGCTAAGATAATGGTTTGCATAGCATCGTCAATTTTGGCATGCTGTAACGAAAATTCTTTAGCGAGTATGAGAGAGTTTATGCTGGGGGTGTGCGAAGAATGAGGCACTTACAGGTCAATTATCAAGCCTTTATTAGTGTATTTATGTACAGCTACCCCAATGGGGTTTGTACGTCAGGACGAGAAGGGGGGTAATGCAAAAGGCCCAATCATGAAACCTGCCTGGGTTTCTGTGGACAGGAGGTGGTCCACTGTGAGAGGGTCAGTAAATGCTGACCGTAGATTTGGGCATTCTAGTGTGCCTGTGAGGATGGCAATGAGGCCGTGTGGAACCTTTGTAAAAACCCTGTCACCAAAACAATTCACTAAATGCCTGGCTGGGTGGAAACAGAGATAGTAGGCCATGACATCGATAGTAACCTCTGTCAGTCATTTTTTGGGAGAAAGTCTGGCTGGGCACATGGCCTGAGTGTGTGCTGAAGCTGCATGCACCAGCATTAAAAATGTGGCACACCTGCGTCTTGCCCAGAAATGCAATGGGTCTGCCCAGCTTGTCCCTCTGCCCACCTTCTTGCCTAGTGTGTGAGCTGAAGGAGTGGTGAGAAGAGGAAGGGTCTGCCTTACAGGGGCACAAATCTGTGGAATGGGACGTAGAACTACAAACAGCACAGGACGGGGTCCTCAATACGGCAAAGTGTCGGCAGAACAACTCCGTGTCCATCTGGCACCAGTCAATTCTGATGTTAAATTGGGCGAGATGAGTAGCTGCCTTAGCCGACAGACTTGTGGTAATCATAGAATGAGGACGCCCCCTTACTTGATGCTTAGATCCACCACTTTGTGCATGTATAGATCTAGTTCCTCCCTTCAATGCGGATACACTGAACAGATGTCTCTATAGATCCCGAAGGCGATGACAAATTGCGGGATGGATAGTTTTTTGTTGAGACGTCGGTCTCGTTTTTAACACCACAGAAACGTCCCTGTAGTTATAGGCTCTGTTTTCTAAGATATTCTGAGGCGATGAGGAGGGAAACTAAATTAACATCCTTCCCATCCAGTATTTCTATTTTAATGGATGCTGGTACAGAGTGAGCCGGTGAAACATACGGGGTAGGGGTGGAGGGGAGGAAGGGGGGTGCTACTCGGCAGGTCAGGGATTACCAGGGGAGGACCTGAAGGGCCTGGTAGGTCACCTGGAGTGGCAATGGCTGATTCCACCGTAGACAGCCTATTATTCAGGGTCTGGAGGTTAGCCAGTATGGCTGTCGGGTTTCCTGAGTAGCGTCAGAGGTGCTGGTAAGCGGGGGTCACTGGCTTGAGCTGTCAACAGTCTATAAAGCTCGGCCTTCCTGGCTGTGGCTGGAAAAGGTATGCCCCCGAGTCTTAGTTCTGCTGATATTTTTGGAATAGTCCATGATCTCATGGACCTGAGGGTAGAGGGGGTGAGGTATACTTCTGGGGACCCAGGCCTGGGTGGAGTGCTGGGTACATCTTCCAAGGGCAGGTCATCGATAGGGATGGATTCTTGTGACATCCCAAAGAAAGGAATAATGATTAATATAGTAGGGGGTGGGGAGGAAGATCAAGTCCTTCACAGGACTGGCTTGCTGACTAGTGCCGAGACGAAAAATGTAACTATAGCAACTAGGGATGCACCGAAATTAAAATTCTGGGCCGAAACCGAAAATTCAGTATGCCCTTGGCCGAAAGCGTTATCGGGAACCTGGGACATGCTGAAATATAGTAATAATATTGCTTAGAAGCGGGGATGTATACTGGCAGGCTAGCTAGTGCCAAGTGGCGAAAAAATTTACTAGGGTAGTGACAAGTGAGACCCTACTAGTTGCCAAGCGGTTTGAGAGGCTCGACCCAAGAGTAGGCGCCACCTAACATTGTGGCAGGGTGTTGGCCTCTCGGTGAACATTAGAGCCAAAAGATGGTAAGTGCGTGACAAGTGAGATGGCTAGCTATGGTTTGGCCCATGGGGCGTATTACCTCTTGCATGGAGGATGGGTGTTGGCCTCGCTGGACCACTGCATCTACAGCGGAGAGTGCCCGAATAAAATTCCTAGATGGCTACCTAATACCCTGTAAGCCAGCAACCTTGTTAACCATGGGTAATGGAGTGGACCCGGGAGCAACGTACCTGTTGGTCAAGTGTATGCTTGAATATCTGCCCAGCGGTAGTCTGAGTTCCCTACTAAGGAGGGATCCCTAAACCAAATGGTGAACAATACAATAGAGGAAAGGAGATAAATATATATGTGTATGAAATAAAATGTCATACTGAAAGAAAACCTAGCGTATATTGACCTAAAACCGCTACGGCCTACCCACCTATGACTTTAGGACTGAGGTTTGAAGAGCCAAGCTTGTCTTAGCTTGGGTACCTTGTAATCTGTAAAACATGACACATAGCGTGAGTCCGAGGTTCAGTAAGAGCATAAACAGTACAGTCTGAACCTTGCATGAATACTGAGATTAAGTGCATAGTAAAAGGGTTAACGTAACTTGCCAAATTGATTGATTTGAGAAACAGACCTTTAACTGAGCAGCTGCAGTTATATACAATATATGATAATCAGTTATAGAATTAAACCGTAACATAAGCATCTGGCTTATAACCCTGCCCCTGTACCTAGCACCTGCAATACCAGGTACAGGACCTAGAGGGCCACAAGCCATTCGTGGCAACTTCCGTATGTGCCCTGGTGACACGTGACCGTGGGAACCACGGTGCGAGACGAGTACCAAAATGGAGCGGTTAGCAAAGTTTCAGTGGTGATTGCCTTGCTTTTAGTACTCATTCCCAATATTGCATCTCCAGGATTTATAAGGTCAAGTTTCCAAGGATCAGTGGGAGAGATGTATAAGATAAAAGAGCCAACAGATAAAAATGAAGTTGTGTAAGACACACAAGGTGTGTGTGTGTGTGTGTGTGTGTGTGTATGTATATATATATCTATATATCTATATATATCTCTCCGCCGGACCCTCAGGTTATCTAGATGACCGACCGAAACCACCCCCTTTCTGCTGCCTGTGAATCACGAGCAAGGGATACCGAGGCTCTATACGACAATAGATTCTCGGTGCCTGCTTCGCCTAACCCCGAGATAAGTAATGTATACAGTGTTGTGTAGTGTATATATATCGTAAGGTATGCGTTCAGGAGTAAGGGCAGGTTAGCCCTGCCAGGTAGAAGGATGCTTCCGAGCCGGAGGCCTGCCGCTCTCTCAGACAAGGTACATAGAATATTGCCCAAGCTAAACAATAAAGTATACAATATTAACCGTAATTAGACTGCCTTCGTGCGACCATGCCCCCAGAACCTGACCTTCGTGTAGGAAGCCGAAGGGGAAGTACCCGTGCCAGCATTGGCCGGGAGCTGTGGCTAGCAAAGAGGTTAGCTTACGGTTACTGGAAGGCGCCTGTACGAGACGGCCTTCAGTCGTGGCTTCTGCGTCAGCTATCAGGCAACTGTCCAAGAGTAAGCTGCGGTAACCAGACCCTCTGTGACGTGGCTAGGTACTGTGATGACACTGATACTGGAGAGCAGAGTGTTTCCTGCGGCAGAATATGGCGGTCAGCAGCAGTACGTATAGACCAATCATGGTCGTGTAGAGAAGGGGGAAGTCCCTTTTAAAGGTCCATAAGCCCCTCCCACAACTTCAGGCCAAGCCTTCCAATATATACATGTATATACATGTACACACACATACACACACACTTCCTGTCAGTGCGGCCGAGTTTAGGAGACACACTGAAGAGTGGGGACCAAGAAGGGTAGAGGGAAAGAGAGAGAGAGGCACTAAAGGACACACTATGGGATGGGGGGGTGAAGGTCACTATGGGACAGGGGAGGGGGGGGCGGAACACTACGGGGGAGAGAGGAACATTGAGGGAAGACACTAAGATACAGGGGAGGGATGGGAAAATGAACACTGGGGTAGGGGGAACACCACTAAAAGAGAAGGGAGAAGAACATTAAGGGGAATTTGGGGGGGCACTAAGAGACAGACTGCATCCACTACACACACACTGCATTTACTAATCAAATACTCTCACTGCATCCACTAAACACACAAATATTCTAGAAAACTAAAAAAAAAAATCTTAACGGGAAACCCTATTGCCAGGAAAACAATCCGTTTTCCTGGCACTGCAGGTCCCCTCTCCCTCCCACCCCCTAATCCCGGTCGCTGCTTCTTCCTCCGCGCCGCTCATCCGTCTGATTGCGTCGGCCGGGGGGCAAGACTGATCCCGCCCACCGGCCGTGGAGACCTAATGTGCATGCGCAGCAATGCCGCTCATGCGCATTAGCGCTCCCCATAGGAAAGCATTTAAAATGCTTTCCTATGGGGAAATGAGCGACGCTGGGGGTCCTCACACAGCGTGAGGACGTCCAACGACGCTCTAGCACAGGTTTCCTGTGCTAGAAACCAGGAAGTGCCCTCTAGTGGTGGAGTTAAAACTGCAATAATTACACTTGCAGGGTTAAGAGTAGTGGGAGTTGGCACCAAGACCACTCCAATGGGCAGAAGTGGTCTGGGTGCCTGGAGTATCCCTTTAATGGCATGTATATTTTGTGTATTTACCACTTCATAAAAAAAATAAATTTGCAAAAAAAAACAAAAAACCACAAACACAAAACTGTAAATGTACAGAATATCAGTAAGCTTAAAAATAAAAATCGGTCGATCCCTAATAAATAGATTTCTGTGGGAAAAGCAAGTCTTATGGTTTGCCTGGTGTGTGTATTTGTGTTTAACATTACACACACACACACACACACACACACACACACACACACACACACACACACACACACACACACACGTCTGTGCAATTCTTTTAGCAAACTCCTGTAATTCTCAACTGGGAGGATCACAGTTGAAAAGGGTAAAATCATATATTTAAAGAGGTAAATATGTCAAACTTATGTTTAGGGAAAAATTTCCCTTTAAAAGGTCTGGCCAGGCTCCCAGCAACCCTCAACTTAAATGGTTAAGTGTCGCTGCTCACAGCAGATGTCCTCCATCTGCAGAGAGAGGGGAGCTGGGAACAAGAGCCAGAATTGAGGAATATGAGCCGTTTGTTTACCATCTGAGAGACCCAAAGGCCAGAGATATATATGCCCTATACAGAGAATCATATGTGTTTCTAATTCAACTCCGTATAAAGTTTAATATACACATTATTAAGAATAAACACAAAATGTAATTCTATACAGATTGTGCACTTTTACTAATTTTTTTTTACTTTAGACAGGCCCTAGTCCTCTCCTATTGTGTTTATTGTGATTGGAGTATCTGCGCCAATATGTAGAGAACATTCAGGAAAATAAAAAATCCTTGCCTACAGTGACTTACCTGTATCCAGGGTCCGCCCACGCTCCTCCCCCACCGACGTCATCCAGCGGGGGAGACCTATTGCGCATGCACGGCCGGCGACAGGGGAGAACTAATGCTTTTAATGCTTTCCTATGGGGATTTCAGGGACGCTGGAGGTCCTCACACAGCGTGAGGACGTCCAGCGACGCTCTAGCACAGGTTTCCTGTGCTAGAAACCAGAAGTGCCCTCTAGTGGCTGTCTAGTAGGCAGACACAAGAGAAGGCATTAACCCTGCAATGTAAATATTGCAGTTTATGAAAACTGCAATATTTACAGTTGCAAGGTTAAGGGTAGTGGGAGTTGGCACCCAGACCACTCTAATGGGCAGAGGTGGTCTGGGTGCCTGGAGTGTCCCTTTAATCATTTTGGATGAACTTTTATATATATGATTTAACATCTTGAAAAATATTATATTTACCCCTTAAGACCGCAGCCAAATGTACAAGTTGTGATCAAAACAAAACGTAAATAAAACCTGGCATTTGCGCTATATGTCTGTCCAACAGTAATTCACCTCTTTCATATTAAATGCACCCACACTTATGATATATAATTTTATTCAGGGGAAACAGGGCTTTCATTTAATATCAAATATTTAGGTATGGAACATAATTTAATATGACTAAAATAGAAAAAGAATGGGAGAAAATAAGATTTTTTTTTTTTTTTTTTAAATGTCTTAGTTCTATGTGACATTTTAACTGTGAATGTCAAAATACCATTTGCTTTTACTGCAATAAAATACACATATTTGTATTCAGCGATGTCTCACATGTAAAACAGTACCCCCTATGTACAGATTTTATGGTGTTTTGGGAAGTTACAGGGTCAAATATAGCATTTTACACTTTTCAGTTTTTCACATTGAAATTCGCCAGTTTGGTTACGTTGCCTTTGAGACTGTATGGTAGCCCAGGAATGAGAATTACCCCCATTATGGCATACCATTCGCAATAGTAGGCAACCCAAGGTATTGCAAATGGGGTATGTCCCGTCTTTTTTAGTAGCCACTTGGTCACAAACACTAGCCAAAGTTAACGTTAATATTTGTTTGTGTGTGAAAAATGCAAAAAACTCATTTGAACGCCAATTTTGGCCAGTGTTTGTGACCAAGTGGCTACTAAAAAAGACTGGACATACCCCATTTGCAATACCTTGGGTTGTCTACTTTTGCAAATGGTATGCCATCATGGGGGTAATTCTTATTCCTGGGCTACCATACGGTCTCAAAGGCAACTTAACCAATCTGGCGAATTTCAATGTGAAAAAACTGAAACGCAAGCCTTATATTTGACTCTCTAACTGTTAAAAACACCATAAAACCTGTACATGAGGGGTACTGTTATACTCAGGAGACTTTGCTGAACACAAATATTTGTGTTTCAAAACAGTAAAAAGTATTACAGCAATAATATCGTCAGTGTAAGTGCAGTTTGTGTGTGAAAAATGCAAAACGTCACTTTCACTGACGATATCATCGTTGTAATACATTTTACGGTTTTGAAACACAAATATTTGTGTTCAGCAATGTTTCCCAGGTAAAACAGTACCCCCCATGTACAGGTTTTATGGTGTCTTGGAAAGTTATAGGGTTAAATATAGTGCTAGCAAATTAAATTCCCTTTACTTTCGGCATGGGTTGTCAGGCAGGTCCCGCAAATTGTAATTAATAAAAGGACCTAATTATGTAAAATTATTACATAAATATATATGTAAAATTATATATATACACATACATACACACACACACACACGTGTATATATGTATCTATAAAATTTTAAATTAATTTTTATTTATATATAGGTATACATATAGTGAAATATATACGAATATAGTTATGTATATAGATATATATATTTTGTTCTACGTGTGTTTTGATATCTATATAATATCAAAATACAGTTAGAATGAAATTACACACATTTTTTATTTAACGTCTTTACATATTTTATTATATATAAATATATATATTTAATCAATATCCTTCTATGTGTATTTTGATTATATATATATAATTATGTGTATGACAGTGTATGTGTGTGTGTGTGTATGTGTATATATATATATATATATATATATATATAATCTAAGTATATTTTATTTGTAACTGTAATATATTTTATTTTTAACTAATATTTTATTTTTCACAGGAGAGGGGCAGAGACAGTGTCAGCCAGTGATGTCACATCACTGGCTGACACACAGGATCAGTGATCACAGTGACTGGCTGTCACTGTGATCACCTCCTGCAGATCGCGGTAATTGGCCACAGGGGGAGTGCCTGGGTGGGCAGGCATGCCCCCCACCACGATCTGCAGGGGGATCCTGCCTGCAGTTACTATGTGTCAGCCAATAGGCTGACACATAGTAACTCTGATCACAGTGACATGCTGTCAGTGCGATCAGATCACAGTGAGAGACTGTCTCTGCAATCAGACTCTGCAGATCGCGGTCACTGACCGCAGGGGGACTGCCTGGGGGGCCAAGCATGTGTCCCAACCGCGATCTGCAGAGTGAAAATGCCGCGGCTCCATGTGTCAGCCGATTTTAAAATACCGATCGCAGTGACAGCCTGTCACTACGATCGAAAGCTGCAGACCGCGATCTGCAGCGACCATGTGCCGCCGGCCACGTGGGAGGCAAGACCGCCCAGGGCGTTCTATGCCGCCCTGCAGCGTTTAGAGCCATCCAAATAGGGACGGCATAGAACGCCATGCAATCTTAAGGGGTTCAAATATTTTCATATTTGTATTTATAAATATACAATACACACACACGCACACTTGATATTTTGAATATTTACTAAAATTTCAAAAGCTTAATATTTTAAATATTAAATTTGGTCACCTGAACAACTTTAGCTTAATGAAGCAGTTTTGGTATATAGAACATGCCCCTGCAGCCTCACTGCTCAATCCTCTGCCATTTAGGAGTTAAATCCCTTTGTTTATGAACCCTAGTCACACCTCCCTGCATGTGACTTGCACAGCCTTCCATAAACACTTCCTGTAAAGAGAGCCCTATTTAGGTTTTCTTTATTGCAAGTTCTGTTTAATGAAGATTTTCTTATCCCCTGCTATGTTAATAGCTTGCTAGACCCTGCAAGAGCCTCCTGTATGTGATTAAAGTTAAATTTAGAGATTGAGATACAATTATTTAAGGTAAATTACATCTGTTTGAAAGTGAAACCAGTTTTTTTTTTTTCATGCAGGCTCTGTCAATCATAGCCAGGGGAGGTGTGGCTAGGGCTGCATAAACAGAAACAGTGATTTAACTCCTAAATGACAGTGAATTGAGCCGTGAAATTGCAGGGGAATGATCTATACACTAAAACTGCTTTATTCAGCTAAAGTAATTTAGGTCACTATAGTGTTCCTTTAACCGAGCTAAGTAGGTCATAATATTGAACAAAGCTAAGTAGGTCATAATAGTGAACAAATACACAACAAACAAAATCAAACATACTGTAAATGAAATTCTTCCATAGTCTATGCAGCAGTGTTTTCTTCCTTCTGCATTAATAAATAATGGTGGGGTGTGTATGTGTGGGGCTGTTTGGGGTATTGTATGTGAGAGGCTGCATGTGGGGTTGTGTGCATCTATATGGATTGTTAGTGGTGTTGCGTTTGTGCGGATTGTGTGTATGTTTGTGTGTGGGCTGTTCATATTATTTGTAGGAGGAGAGGGTTGTTATGCATTTCTGTGTATATCTAGCCGTGTGGGTGGCTTCCCTGGGGTCCAGTGGGGATCAGGCTGGCCAGGTACAGGTCAAGGACAGAAGCTGCAAAATCAGCTGCAGGCTGATCTACTACAGTGTGGATTTCCATTCTCAAGTGCTGGGAAGAAGTGATCTGAGATCACTTCTTTACGTGCTTCAATGCATAAATTGAGATTTGACCTTCACCACCTTTTCGTATATGCAGATATTTAAATTTTCACTGGGACTCCTGATAGGCCAGACCCTGTTTGACTCTGGCAGCCTTGAAGAAGAAAAAAAGCCTAATAAACTGATGTATACAGAAGGCTGGAAGGAAGAAGTATTTCCATCTCTGTAATGTTCTACAAACTACACACAAACACCAGAGAGAGATAACTTGGAGGGGGGCAAAGATTATATAACCAGCAAAGTAAGTTGTGTGCTCTGTTGTATAATTTTTTATAAAAATGTTTTGCTTAATACAAAGAGTTTGAGCATTCAGTCATAGAGAAAAGAAAGTACCCCCTCTTTGTATTCTATGTATCTACATATCAGGACATAATGACAGTCATCTGTTCCTTAGCAGGTCTTAAGGCAAATACAACCTCGAATGAACAACATTCAATTCAGATTGCAATTAATAAAATGACTTACTTATGTAAAAATATTCTATAAAAATATTTGTAGAATTTACACATATATATATAAAAAAATACGTCATTCTAAATGTATTTTGAATTTAATATATATGTATATTAATATCAAAATAGTTAAACCGGTATATACATTTTTTTAATTTTTTTATAAATTTTTCATTGTATTGATTTTTTTTATATTTTATATATATATATATATATATATATATATATATACATACATACATACACACACACACACACACGCACGTCATTCTAAGTGTATTTTAATAATTATATACATTAATATTAAATTACATACACACAAATATATATATATGATCTAAGTACTTACAATTTAATTTTAAAACAGTTTTATAACTTTTTTACAGGCAAAAGGGGGACTGTCTGATAGTTCAGACAGGCCCTCTGCAGGCACTGCACAAGCCGGCTATTCCGGCCATGTGTTTACGAGGACCCCGCCATGTGATCATGAGGACATTCTATGCCGCCCGCCGGCGTTTAGGACCACCTAAAAAAGGAAGGCATAGAACACCCGCCACCCTTAAGGGATTAAAGAGTGGGTCAACATTCCACCACAACGCCGTGATAGACTGAAAGTCATACAGAAAACGAATGCTTTAAGTAATTTCTGCTAAAGGTGGTTCTACAAGCTATCAAATTGTAAGGTGTACTTAGTTTTTCAGACATGGCTTCTCCATTTTGGCTTTATTTTTGTTAAATAAATCATGACACGGTGTAATATGTCATGTGCTGTTGTTCATCTGAGGTTGTATTTACCTAATTTTAAGACCTGCTAAGGAACAGATTATTATATACGGATATGTAAAACAACAGAATTCAAAGAGGGTGTACATTCTTTTCCCCATGACTATATGTTGCTGCATAAATGACAGGCATAAAACAATGTGTGTGCTTAGTGGGTTATTATTTAATAGCAATTATAAGGTAAAGCTTGAAAAGAGAAGCAGGACCCTACGCATGTTCCCTCAGAATTTCCCATTATAAAAATATATAACGTAAGAAACAGAAATTTAAATAAGTCATGGCTGTTGTGCCTCACAGTCCAGTTATTAAATAGCATATCAAATGCCATTTTCAGTTTTAAGTGATCTGGTGTAAATTTTCTACTAGGACTAGATATCCATATTGTAATGTTCAAGGCGCATACTGAAAAATATTACTATAGTAAACTGACAAACGGTATGCTAAGACTACAACTTTAAGCAGTTACAGAATCTTAAAGGAACACTATAGTCACCTAAATTACTTTAGCTAAATAAAGCAGTTTTAGTGTATAGATCATTCCCCTGCAATTTCACTGCTCAATTCACTGTCATTTAGGAGTTAAATCACTTTGTCTCTGTTTATGCAGCCCTAGCCACACCTCCCCTGGCTATGATTGACAGAGCCTGCATGGAAAAAAAACAACTGTTTTTTTTACTTTCAAACATATGTAATTTACCTTAAATAATTGTATCTCAATCATAAATTGAACTTTAATCACATACAGGAGGCTCTTGCAGGGTCTAGCAAGCTATTAACATAGTAGGGGATAAGAAAATCTTCATTAAACAGAACTTGCAATAAAGAAAGCCTAAATGGGGCTCTCTTTACGATAAGTGTTTATGGAAGGCTGTGCAAGTCACATGCAGGGAGGTGTGACTAGGGTTCATAAACAAAGGGATTTAACTCCTAAATGGCAGAGGATTGAGCAGTGAGGCTGCAGGGGCATGTTCTATACACCAAAACTGCTTCATTAAGCTAAAGTTGTTCAGGTGACTATAGTGTCCCTTTAAAAGGCTATACAAAAGTAGATATTTATAGAAATAAGACACCCAGTAATTAACCCGCAACTTTTCTTTTCTTTCAGGGAGTGTTCCGGAGGATTGGAGGAAGGCAGATGTGGTTTAAAATCCTTACCTGGGAATTATAGACCTGTGAGCTTAACTCCTGTGGCCGGAAAAGTATTTGAAAGGTTATTAAGGGATAACATTCAAGAATTCCTTGAGAAGAACATGGTTATCAACAAAAATCAGTACGGTTTTATAAAGCACAGGTCATTTCAAACTAAGTTGATTGCGTTCTACGAAGAAGTAAGCAGAAGTATAGATCAGGGTGTTACAATGGATGTGATCTATTTGGATTTTGCCAAGGCATTTGATACAGTTCAACATAATAGATTAGTGTTCAAACTCAAGGAAATCTGTCTAGATGACAATGCTTGTTCTTGGGTAGAACATTGGCTTAAAAACAGAGTACAAAGAGTTGTCATTAATGGTAAATTTTCAAGATGGAAAGAGGTGGCAAGTGGTGTCCCTCAGGGTTCTGTTCTGGGACCTCTTCTATTTAAACATATTTATTAATGATCATTGAAAGTCATGTTTCAGTGTTTGCAGACGACACAAAACTCTAAAGTAATACAACATTAGCAAGATATTACTTTGCTGCAGAAGGATTTAGATAGACTGGGCACTCAAATGGCAGATGAAATTTAATGTTAAAAAATGCAAAGTTAAAGGACCACTCTAGGCACCCAGACCACTTCAGCTTAATGAAGTGGTCTGGGTGCCAGGTCCAGCTAGGGTTAACCCATTTTTTTATAAACATAGCAGTTTCAGAGAAACTGCTATGTTTATGAATGGGTTAAGACTTCCCCCAAAGCCTCTAGTGGCTGTCTCATTGACAGCCGCTTGCGTGCTTCTCACTGTGAGAATCACAGTGAGAGCACGCAAGCGTCCATAGGAAAGCATTGATAATGCTTTCCTATGCGACCGGCTGAATGCGCACGCAGCTCTTGCCGCGCGTGTGCATTCAGCCGCCGGGGAGGAGAGGAGGAGGATCGGAGGAGGAGAGCTCCCCGCCCAGCGCTGGAAAAAGGTAAGTTTTTACCCCTTTTCCCCTTCCAGAGCCGGGCGGGAGAGGGTCCCTGGGGGTGGGGGCACCCTCATGGCACTATAGTGCCAGGAAAATGAGTGTTTTCCTGGCACTATAGTGGTCCTTTAACCCTTTTTTTTTTTTTTAATAAACATAGCAGTTTCAGAGAAACTGCTATGTTTATGTTAGGGTTAATCCAGCCTCCAAATCCTCTAGTGCAGGGGTTCTCAACCTTGCCCTCAAGGACCCCCTACCAGTCCAGGGTTTAGGGATTACCTGGGTGTGTCTAAGGTGTTTAGAAAAAGAAAAAAAACACCTTAGACTCTAAGGTGTTTTTTTTCTTTCTAAACACCTTAGACACACCCAGGTAATCCCCAAATCCTGGACTGGTAGGGTGTCCTGAGGACTGGGTTGAGAACCCTGAGTCTAGTGGCTGTCTCATTGACAGCCGCTAGAGGCGCTTGTGTGATTCTCATTGTGAAAAATCACAGTGAGAACACGCAAGCGTCCATAGGAAAGCATTAGGAATGCTCTCCTATGAGACCGGCTGAATGCGCGCGCAGCTCTGGCCACGCATGCGCATTCAGCCAAAAGGGAGGAGAGGAGGAGAAGAGCTCCCCGCCCAGCGCCGGGAAAAAAAGGTACGTTTTAACCCCTTCCTCTCCCCAGAGCCGGGCGGGAGGGGGACCCTGAGGGTGGGGGCACTATAGTGCCAGGAAAACGAGTATGTTTTCCTGGCACTATAGTGGTCCTTTAAGCACTTCAGCGTAAAGATTGCACAAGCAACGTATACCCTTAATGGAAGCAAATTAGGGATAACAACACACAAAAAAGGACTTTGGAATTGTTATAGACAACAAACTATGCAACAATGTTCAATGTCAATCAGCAGTGGCTAAGGCCAGTAAAGTATTGTCATGCATGAAAAAGGGCATTCATTCTCGGGATGAGAATATAAAATTTTGCATCTTTATAAATCAATGGTAAGACCACATATTGAATATGCTGTGCAATTTTCAGCACTTGTTCTAAAGAAGGATATTATGGCAATAGAAAACGTGCACATGTGGGCTACAAAATTAATAAAAGGAATGGAACATATCAGCTATAAAGGTTAAATTTAAACCTCTTTAGTTTAGAAAAATGTTGCCTGAGAGGGGATATGATAACATTATACAAATATATTTGGGGCCAATACAAACCATTGTGTGGAAATCTATTCATAAAACGGCCTTTACATAGGACACGAGGTCATGCGTTTAGACTGGAAGAAATAATATTTCGTCTAAGGCAAATAAAAGGATGTGGAATTCTCTGCCTGAAATGGTTTTATCATAGTCATACAGATGTTCAAACAGCAACTAGATGCATACTTGCAAAAACAGAATATTCAAGGATATAACTTTTCAATGTAGGGTAATAACTGCTTGATGCAAGGATAGATTTGACTGCCATTCTGGGGTCAAAAAGGATTTTTTTTGTTTCTAGTTTGTTGCAAAATTGGAAGTGCCTCAAACTGGGGTTTTTTGCCTGCTTTTGGATCAACCGCAAAAAACGAATGTGAGGAAGGCTGAACTTGATGGACGCAAGTCTCTTTTCAGGTATGTAACTATGTAACTGCTGCCAAATTTGCAGCTTATATCCATTTTTTTTTTTATTCATTTCATTCACAAGGGGCGTTTTACAGACCATGTGCTTCCCACTACTCTAAAGAAGTCAATATTTGTATTCTTCGAATGTCCCAGTGTACAAGAATATAAAATGTGTACCTTTGTTACATGACTTTAGAAGTCCCTCAGACAGTTGTCATGCATGCCCAAATTAAAGCACTTTCTAGAACATCAGATAATGCCCTATGGACACTCAGGGGTTAAGAAGTATAGGCCAAGCTCAAGATCAGGGTCAGGCTTGAACGCTTGATGTCAAAACACATGCCACTCATTTCTCCTCTCCTGTAGTTCACATATAGAATATAAGCACTCTCCTTGAGACCTTTTAAAGGAACATTATAGCAGGGCTATATTGCTTGGAAAAGTTAGGAATCAGGTATTTTTTTTTTGTAACCTACAAAGCATCATTTTCAGCAACAAAATACAATTCTTAAAAAGACACTATACTCACCAGAACTACTACAGTGTAATGTATACAATACTCAAGACAGAAATATTTTTTTTATTATTTTAATTTAAATCCACCTGACCTCCCTATATGGGAGATCTGGCGTGGATCTGCTTTTCCTGTGGTATAGGATGGCTGCTGTCATCTTCCAGCTCTGCTCCCTCTCGCGCACTGTTTAGTGATGCTGGGGGCCGTAGTGTTCGCATTTTGTTGTAGATTTAATTCCTTTCCTATTTCATAACCAAAATAAAGTCAAACTGTTTCTATAATCAAGACAGTCCATTAATGGTTTAACCCGTTAAAGTAAGATGGTTTTGTTAATGAATTCGCTGCATAACAACTTAATTGGGTTTAAAGGACCACTATAGTGCCAGGAAAACACTCGTTTTCCTGGCACTATCGTGCCCTGAAAGTGCCCCCACCCCCAGGGACCCCCTCCCACCCGGCTCTGGGGACAGGAAGGGGTTAAAATCTTACCTTTTTTCCAGCGCCGGGCGGGGAGGTCTCCTCCTCCTCTCCGATCCTCCCTTTCGGCTGAATGCGCGGGAGGAGCTGCGCGCGCATTCAGCCGGTCTCATAGGAAAGCATTTACAACGTGTTCTCATTGCGATTTTCACAGTTAGAATCACGCAAGCGCCTCTAGCGGCTGTCAATGAGAGAGCCACTAGAGGAATTGGAGGCTGGATTAACCCATTAAAAAAAAAAAAAAAATAAAGGGTGTTAATCCTAGAGGGACCTGGCACCCAAACCACTTCATTAAGCTGAAGTGGTGTGGGTGCCTAGAGTGGTCCTTTAATAGCAAGTCATGTTGGGGCTATAAAATGTGAAAACAGTTTGCCATCATAGTGGTATAAGAAATACCACTATAAGATGAGCAGATTCAAGGCGGTTCAGTATATTTGAAAATGTGTCACTAAGCTTACAGCATGTAACAAAAATGTAAAAAGATTAAAAAAATAAATAAAATATCAGTAACCAGGACAACCTGTCGTGTTTTCTATAAAGTGCACCAACATACTGCAAATGTACATTGCACCTTATTCTCAAACTAAATGTATTTGGGTCAACATAAATGCTTAATAGATATATCAAGACAAAGATGATTTTGAAAAATACCTTATTAAAGTCCTGCTTAAGAAGACAAAGACATATGGAAAACACAAAGAGCACATTTTACAATTCTAATTATTCATTTACTTCAAAGACTGTAATAGGCTGCAGAATGGTGGCACATAAAATATAAAGTTTGGGAGTTCTGTATGATTGTCATCATGTGAGTGTTGCATGATTTGTGTACCTGGTTGATGTAATATTAAATGGGTAATCAGAGTGCATCAAGTGTTTGAGAGATTGTTACACATTAATGTAGATACCCATAAGTCGCCACTAGCGTAGAGCACGTCACGTGTAGTTTCAGGGTTGTAAGAGGTGTTAGATCCTGCTTATAAATGGTTGTTTTTATTAGGTTTTTATTTCAGGTTTTTGGAATACTATCAAGGATTTTAAAAAAAGTAAACAACAAAAATCTAAGTTTAGGATAAGGGATTATTTACAGAGGTTCTTTTGTGGCAACACTTTTTTTTTTTTTTTTTAATAATACTAGTAATACAATTCAAAAATTTGGTTCAAAATTTAACATAGAAACCATATCACCAAAACATCTTAAGACTCTGTTTTCATAACTTTATACTAGACAGTTTATCAGAAAAGAGATTAACCATTTAATTTCTGTAATTAAATACCTTCTCAACCACAGTCTCCTTAAAAGGAAGCAAATTACTGCTACAATGAATTTTATTAATGACACTGTGGCTCCTATTCTGCTTTCACTTTCGTTATGTTCCCTCAGCAGCAAAGAGAAAATATGTAAACTTGAATGAAAAATGAATAAAATAATAAATATAACAACTCGGCCTAGAAACGGGGCAGCCAATAAGGATACAGGAACAGTCTATAAAAAGGTCTTGAACTAGCCATCCACTTTCTTTCTTTGCTGCTCCCTCAAACCAGCTAAGTATACTTTTTCATTCTGTACTTTAATGCATTGTTTAGCATTTTTAAATGTACTGTATATACTTCTATTGATTATTACTTGTTTTTCTTGGGTTACTATTTGTGTATAGCAGTAGGTGTGTTCCCACTGCTTTGTTTTTCGTGGTTTGGGCTGTCTCCCAGCCTGTCAGCCGTCGCGAGAGGAGAGCCTGCTCACCTTTGGCGCGCTGTGTCGGAAACTGCAAAAGCGGATCCCGGCGGCCTACCTTGTGGCTGACAGGGTTTCCGGCGGCACGGCCCCTATTTCTCCTCTGTCCTGATTATATGTATTCTGTTGGTGTTACTCAACCCTGTGGCTTTGTTGTTTTCTTTTAGGCATATTGTTCTACCTGTGGTGTGTTGCTGGGTAGGATATGTGACATACACTTTATACCTGGGAGTCTTGAGTTTAGGCTTGGGCCTATAGTATTGATTGCGGGCTGCAGATTGAGCCCACACTGCTCTGCAGACCTGAAGATTATACTGATTGTGTCCCTGTGGCCTTCTTAACCCTCTATCCTGTCCTAATCCCTACTCCAGGATGCAATCCCGTGGTGATTGGGTTTCAGGCCCGAATTATCCCAACCATGAGCCCTTTTTAAACGAACTCCCAGGAATTCCAGGCCCTCCTGTGCTCCGGTCAAAGGGCTCTGGCTTCTGTGATGGGGACTATGTCCTCTTCCATTTCACAATCCTTTGCACAGGCCCTATTACATACATAGGGTTCATTGCCTGCGCTCCCCACCAGCCCTGATCTAGCGGCCCAAGTGAGCCATAAGGCGTGGGCAAAGACCAGCCTCCTCTACCACTGACGCAGGTTTTATCTGATATGACTGACTCGCCTCTGGCAGTCCAAGATGGCGCGTTGTCACCGCGCAAGAGAGCCACTGGCCAGGTGAAATCGTCCAGAAACAGGCTATGCCCTAGATGATGATGGGTCATATTCCGACCAGAGTGGGAATACGGGGTCGGTTGACCATGATTATGCCTCCTATGGGGAGGATGACTCCAACCCAGGGATGGGTTCTGGTATATCACCCTCCCAGCCACCTGTGGTTGTGTCTGGTGGTCCTACCGATCTGTCAGCTGGGATGGGGGATGGTATCCAGGACCTGGACGACCTCCGTCATCCTCGTTCGGCAGAATGGGAGACACCGGAACATATTGCTAAATATCTGGCCTTGCGTATGCTTACCCCCTCTCCAAAGAGAGCCGCAGCAAATAGCGGGCTGAATGCCCCATGCCTTCTGTCCTTGAAGCGGCATGTAAGACACCGGAGGTTGATCCTCGAATCTTTCAATTTCTGACCTACACAGGGTGGAAGTCCAAAAAGGGGTTGGAGACCTCCCTGCACAATTGTCACAATAAGATCCTGGAAACTCTGGGGCCAGCTTCCAAGCATTTTGAACTACTAAGGTGGGGTAGGCCCCTCTTGACTTTAAGGAGGTCATTGGCTGGGTCCAGAGACCGATAGGTCTCTTGGGCAACGCGAACACCACGCTGTCAGCAGTATGCCATAAGGCAATTTTGCTTAAATTGAGCCAAAACTAGTTAATTTAGCAGGTATTGAACCAGTCCCGCAGTGAAGGGCATGTTGTTTGGGGATTCCTTTGTGAAGGACCTCTGGTTTTTTGCCAAGACCTTTATGGCCTTGGATAAGGCGCAATCAAACCTTAAACAGGTTTTTGGCCGTAAGGTTTTCACTGGGGCTGGGAGATCTAGAAGCCGTCCACCCTGCCGGGGATTTCGAGGTCCATCACAGGCCCACAGACGTTCCTACGCTGCTCCGCGACCCTAATGTGATTATACGCCAGCGCCCTTCTTCCCGTCTCGGAGACGCCCCTGGTCAAGTCGTGGGGATTGGGGACAACCTACCAACAGACGCCCTTATTGTGAGTACAAAGACTCCACTTTCTTCCCTATTAAGTGTGGGGGGCAGACTGGCTTTGATTACAAACGCATGGGGTTTGATCACCACAGATTCATGGGTGTTACGCACTGTCAGGGGCTTTCGCCTCGACCGGATTTCTACCCCTTTCCAGGCACAGCCTCCCCTCCCCCGGGAACGGTCAATGCTGATGGATCAAGCTGACCTTATTTCTTTGGAGATTGCCAAATGGACAATTCAAGAGGTCCCATACGAGACCCCAGGATTCAAAAGCAATTTGTTCCTGGAAGCCTTAAAGGGCAGAGGTGTTCGCCCAGTGATAAATCTGCAACACCTCAACGCTTTCCTCCATTACCAACATTTTAAGATGCAGGGTATTCACTGCTTCCAGGATCTACTACATCCAGGAGATTGGATGGTCACAGTGGACCTCAAGGACGCTTATTTGACAGTCCCAATAGCTGAGAAGCACAGGGATAGGTTGCCTTTCACGTGGCAAGGACGGCGATGGACCGGTCTATCCTTCAGACTGTCTTCGGCTCCCTGGTGCCTCACAAAAATCATGAAGCCGGTGGTGGCTTTCCTCCGGGTGCGTGGAGTTTCGGTTGATAATTTACCTGGACGACATCCTGCTTATGTCCACTTCTCCCGACCAACTCTTATGTCCCTTGCAATGGGCCTTGAGACTGCTCGACAGAATTTCTGGGATTTGAAGTGGACTCGTTTCCCAGTTCCAATTCCTCCCGGAAGCGAAGTTGAAGGCCATCAAGAAGAAGATCAGACATACCCTTCGGGCTTCATCCCTCTCCACACGTCAGTTGGCACGACTAAAAGGTTTGCTTACCTCGTCGATCCAAGCAATCTTCAATCGTATCATTATTACAAATGCCAACTGGTTTTAAACGTGGAATCGAGGGAGGAACTGAAGTGGTGGCTCGACCGCATGGACCGGTTGGGCGATATTCGGGACCGCTCAGGACGTAATCAAAGAATCGGATGCCAGCTTACACGGCTGGGGAGCGCCTTGTGGGAACCTTTCCACAGGTGGCAGATGGTCCACGGACTAATCCAAACTTCAATCTGTGATGGCCGAGCACGTTCCGGGCTTGGACAACGCGTGGGCGGATTGGAACTCCAGATACCTACAGGATGCGGAGGGTTGGCATCTGTTCAATCTTCCACTGTTTGAATCATGTGTGAGTCCAGACTGAACACCCAACTACCCAGATATTACAGTTGGCAGCCGGACCCTGCAGTGCTGGGAGTAGATGCTTTCCTACCGATGTGGCCACCTTCTAGTCACTATGCCTTCCCTCCGTTCAACCTGATCTCTTGGACACTATCTTTCCAATGCGGGCATGAATGCTCGCACACACATATACACACACATACATACACACACACACACACACACCTAAGGCTCACCAAATATCTAGATATGGATAGCCCATCCAGCCTTCTAAAGTTGCCAGCTGAACTCTACAGCACTTTCTAAGGCAATAGATGTCATTCTTTCTTGCACCCAACCAGCCTAAGCAGAGGCGAAAAACAGGGGTGCGCACCACGTTGACACTCTCGGGCCTGGAGGAACTCTTTGGTGGAACAGCGGTAAAGGGAGTGAGAGAACAATCTTCCCCTACAACACCTGTTCCTACAGCCCACATGCCAGTTATGAACGGTCGCTCACAGAAACCACATACAGCAGCAGACAGCAGGGATATCAGGGCCATGCTACAGAGGCCCACGCAGCTGAATACCACTCCCGTGGAAGTCCCGCGCGCCACTACAATCACTCACCCATCTGAGGCCAGCAAACCCATTGGACACTCGAGCACCACAACCAACCACTGTTGCCTGAAGCCATCAACGACTCAACATCATCCTCCAGGCACGGTCTGAAGATTTTGCGGTCAGATATCCATAAAATACTGGCAGCGGAATATGCACCCATCAAAACGGATTTGAAAGCCATTACAAACCGAGTGCAGGCTTTCGAGAGGGACATTGCTGATCTACAGACCCACATTCGGTTCAGCGGGTCTGGTACCACCAGAGAGCCATAACAGCTATAGAAGAACGTTGTCTCACCAATATAAAAATAAGGTGCATCCCTGCGGAAATCTCAATGGAACAAGTTGCCACACTACATCAGGTGTTTATTGGCCACCATTCTGCCTCACACAATAGTAAAGAAACTGGCTATTGATGGGATATATCGACTACCCAGGTCCACTAAGGTTCCACCCAAAGTCGTTATGCTCAGATGTCTAACGGTCCATGACAAAATCCAGATCATGTCAGCACTTTATGCTCAGTTTTTTTCAGGACAATATAAGATTGTCCCAGTTTGGAGTTACTCACACTAGATCAGTGTAGCCATATCCGGAACAGATAGTTCTACCAACGTTTAGAACCTTTTTGTCCTCACCCCTCCGATACTCCCTAGGTCAGGGGTAACGGCATTCAAAGCATAGAGTACTACCACTAGCTCAAGTAGCTTCACTAGCGACCAGTTACATCCAATCAATCTAAAACCACTAGACATTATGTCTATGGGATTAAACACTTCTATGCAAATCACTGCATCTTCACCTTAAACTAACATGGGCATATATGCCGAGACTTCAGCTACACAACTCCCTAACTATCCCATCAGTATATAATGGTATCGGCTCCTGGGATCAATGTGGGTACACTACACACCCATTAACCCGCCACAAGCCATGTATCCTACAGTTGTGCCTAGACCTAAGATAGCTTGTCACATACATATGTAAAAATAGTCACATTTATCAGTGATGTACAACCTATATTTTTCCACCTCTCTACCTATTATTCATCTATGTTAGGCTTATGCACTGCATATCCTTGCTGATTTATACCAAAATCAATATAATGCATATCTAAAAGGCTAGTGATAGGACATGCATCGCAGTTTATAATTATATTTTTACAATTTGTCCCTTTTACCATGATTAATAAATAATGACATGTACAATGCACTGTAATTCAATACAAGTGTAACAATAACCTAAAGTCCTAGATTTCCAGTACTATTGAACGCAGGCCATGTCATTCATTATAACAACAAATAGGATTCTGGTGGTTGCTGCTCTTTGCCGGAGACCTATCTTATGACACTGAACAGTGTTTCACACATTGATTGTCCACCTTGAACAATCCTCAGACACATCCTGTTTTTTGGGTTTTTTTGTCCACATTGCAGTAGTGTCTACTTTCGTCAGCTGTAAATAATGTTAATCTTCTGGCAGCCCTGGTAACAGTTACCATGGCAATGGGTACACAGTACCAGGAAAGATACTCTTTACATCCAGGTCAGTGTTTGGTGTCTTTCTTTCCTATTGTAATTTCCATTTGACACCTGAGAACCAATTCCGTAAGTCTGGGACACTTCTAAAGCATGAAATTATTGTAGTACAACTTCTAGCGTTCAACCCTTGTTAAAACCTGCAACAGGTATTACACAACAGCAGCAATTAAAATACTTTTCAGAGAGAATTACACTATTATAATGGAAGTAAACAAATACACTATTTGTTTACTTTCATTAGAACAGCGTTCAGACACAAATTATTAGCAGCGCCACATTAATCAGACACATTACTTTATTCCAGCGCCAGGCTCCCTCAGCGCTGGTGACCTCTCCTCCCCATCCGACGTCAGTGGAGTTGAATGCGCATGCGCGGCAAGTGCTGCGTGCGCATTCAAAGTGTCCATAGGAAAGCATTTCTCAATGCTTTCCTATGGACGCTCTGCGCCATGGAGGCATAATATGCCTTCAGTGTCGCAGATGCGCCTCTAGTGGCTGTCCGGAAGACAGCCACTAGAGGCTGGCTTAACCCCAAATGTAAACATAGCCGTTTCTCTGAAACGGCTATGTTTGCATCTGAAGGGTTAAAACCTGAGGGACCTGGCACCCAGACCACTTCATTGAGCTGAAGTGGTCTGGGTGACTATAGTGTCCCTTTAAGAGTAATTCCATATTCTTAAATGCCATTATCCTGCCAGTGTGTATGAAGAAGCTATGTCTTTTTTTTCCCCCTTTTGGTATTCTTTCCTTATATCTCAATGATTATACTCCCTCCACTTGCCTTTATCTATATTTTCTTTTCTTGTGCTGGATCTCAATATTTGTGAGCAGCCATTTTGCTCTCCTCTGTCCATGATGTCTGCTGTTTGTGCCAGCTTACCTCAAGTGGTTAAAGGATCACTATTGGGTCAGGAACACAAACATGTATTCCTGGCCCTATAGTGTTAAAACCACCATCTAGCCCCTATGGCCCATCATGCCTCCATAAATATAGTAAAAATCTTACTGTATGCAAGCCTGAAGCTGTAACTCTGCATGCTGTTAGACTCAGAAAAACAAACAGTCTGCTGACATCATCAGAAGAGGTAGTCTGATCCAATCACAGTGCTTTCCCATAGGATTGGCTGAGACTGACAAGGAGGCAGATCAGTGGCAGAGCCAGCATGATTCAAACACAGCCCTGGCCATTCAGCATCTCCTCATAGAGATGAACTGAATCAATGAATCTCTATGAGGAAAGTTCAGTGTCTGCATGCAGAGGGAGGAGATACTGAATGTTTGGATGCATTTTAGGTAACCATGACCCAGGAAGAATCTCGAACAGCTATCTGAGGAGTGGACAGTAAAGTTTTCACTCGGCTGTAATGTAAACACTGCATTTTTTCTGAAAAGACAGTGTTTACAGCAAAAAGCCTGAAGGTAATGATTCTACTCACCAGAACAAATTCAATAAGCTGTTGTTGTTTTGGTGACTATAGTGTCCCTTTAAACTATTAATGAACAGGTTAACTAAAAATTCTTCATTCTGGTACCCGCCAGCTCTGTCCCTTCACTTCAATTCCAATCCGAAGCTTTAAATCAGTAAACACTGAAACGGGCACCACTGGTAGGAGCTTTGTGTCAGCTGACGACAGGGACTTCCTTCTACCATAACATTTTCATTTCAGTTGTTATGTTGCCTGGAGTTTCCCTTTAATGAGTTTTCTAATTCACATGTGTGCATTTTAGAATAAGAAAAGGTACATGAATAAGCTTTTTTTATTGACATTTACATAGTGCAAAAAAATTCCACAGCACAATTCTAATGTAGGGATATAACCCCCCCCCAAAAAAATACACATTACTGGCATTCTTGTAAACAAAAAACAGGGTTTATTAAAAAGGATACTATAGTCACCAGAACCACTAAAGCTCAAAATAGTGGTTCTAATGTTTAAAGCATGTTCCTGCAGGCCAGGCACTGTAAACACTGCCTTTTCAGAGAAAAGAGAGTGTTTACATTGCTGCCGAGTAACACCTCTAGTGGCAATAACTCAGATAGCCACTAGAGGTGCTTCCTTGTCCACTGCTGCACAACGTGCAGTCCTTGCGTTTAGAGTCTCCACACTTTGCATGTTAATGCTGAACTTTTCCCCTGAGACTGATTCAAGGAGAAAATGCTGGTAGGCGCAGCATGGGCATGCACAATAGCCTCCTAATGCTTTGCTATGGGAAAACATTGGATTGGCGGAGATCATCAAGATTGATGATCCCAGCCACAGAAGCAGAGCCAGCCCTGCAAGAAAGGAGCGGCGTGTGAGAAAAGGTGAGTAACACTACCTTTTATCTCCAGACAGAGGGCGGCCGGCATACCAGCACTATAGTCTCAAGGAATAAAATGTTTATATTCCTGACACTATAGTGTTCCTTTAAGCATCCTGCTCTAACAAGCTGATCATAAAATAAAAATGTAAAAGCAGTCATTGGGACTTCAAGCACCACTATAGGCACCCAGAACACTTCAGCTCAATGAAGTGGTCTGCGTGCCAGGTCCCCCTAGTTTTCACCTTGCAGCTGAAAACATAGCAATTTCAGAGAAACTGCTATGTTTACACTGCAAGGTTAATCCAGCCTCTAGTGGCTGTCGTCCTGACAGCCACTAGAGGCTGCTTCCGCGATTTACACAGAGTAAATCGCACTTATTTGACGCAGGACGTCCTCACAGAGTCCAGCGTCAAAAAAGATCCCTATGGGCGGGTTTGAATGCGGGAGCCTCTGGCCGCGCATGTGCACTCGGCTCCACTCGGGAGCTGACGTCAATGGAGGTGGAGAGGTCACCAGTGCCGAGGGAGCCTGGCGCTTTATTAAGGTAAGCAAAGAAATGCTTAATTAACCATTTATTCGCCGCGAGATAGGGCCCTAGTTACCTAAACGGTGACACCTAGCACTATAAAGCCCTAGTCACCTAAACGGCCGGTGGTCACTTCCTCCCAGCTCCCTCCGCGCCAGGCCACGGGAGCCACGCCGACTCCCGTGAGCCACAGCCACCCTCCTACAAAAAAAGTATGTATGTGTGTATGTATGTATGTATGTATGTATCTGCCAATATGTGTACGTATCTGTATGTATGTCAGTATGTGTGTGTGCATTTATGTCCTTATGCGCGTGTGTGCAGTGTGCATAGGAATTCGTTCATAATTTTCATAGTCCGGCCCTCAGCAGTGTCTGAGGGACTGTGAACTGGCCCCCTGTATAAAAAGTTCAAGGACCCCTACGCTAAAGCATTATTTTGTTTTTGACCAAGAGGGTTTTTTGTTTTGTTTTGTTTTGTTTTGTTTTTAAATCACTTTGCGCCAGTGTACACGTGAATGGAAAGGTTTATGCATGAGGCACCAGTGACTGCAAATGTGTACAGGACAAGTGTACTGTTAAATGCCATGGTATATATGAAAGTGTGTGCAAATTGTCACTGCATATCTGAATGAGTTATGATGGCATAGAGCTACACACATGCAATGGGCTTATTTAGAAGCAGGACTCAAATCCTCAAGTCCTAAACTACTACCTAGGTCTAAAGGTTGCTTGTCACATTAAGCCTTGAGAGTTCATGGCACATTCAAAAGGGGGACAATGAGCTAAGTCTCGCACAACCGTGCTTATAGCGCTTTGTAAGGATGCAGAATTGCATGAAGCAGTGCCTGAAGAACTTCAGGTAAGAAGTCATAGCATTCTAAAACATTGTGACTATTTACTCTAGGGGGTTCCAGGAAATTTCTGGCACTATAGCCACTACAGTGCACGGTCGTAGTTATCATGCTTGGAGCGTTCCTTTAAAAATTCACCTGGCGTATGTGAGGCACCCATCACTGCCTCATCTGGAGCCAGAAGCTCTTGAAGGAACAACCAATAGCTCCACTGTCTCCTGCAAAGTAAGTCCTGCTGCACAGACTCACTGGCTATAACTTAAACAGTTTCACTACTGGCACCATAATAATCAACTGTTTGTTATGGTACTTTGAGTGCGCCAAGGTTCCAAACTATTAAACGATTATAAAACATCTACAAAGTAAATCAACTAAAAAACACAAAATATACCCTTAAAGGATCACTATAGTGTCAGGAAAACAAACTCGTTTTCCTGAGACTATAAAACCCCTATGCCCTCCCTCGGCGCTGGAGGGGTTAAAACCCCTTCAGTTACTTTAATCCAGCGCCAGGCTCCCTCGTCGCTGGTGACCTCTCCTCCCACTCAGACGTTGGCTCCCGAGTGGAGCGGAATGCGCATGTGCGGCAAGAGCCGCGCGCGCATTCAAACAGTTCTGCACGATGAATGCGATTTTCACATGCACTGTTGCAGAAGCGCCTCTAGCAGCTGTCAGAAAGACAGCCACTAGAGGCTGGAGTAACCCTGCAATGTAAACATAGCAGTTTCTCTGAAACTGCTAGGTTTACATCTAAAGGGTTAAAACCTGGGTGACTATAGTGTCCCTTTAAAGTGAACCTGTAATAGAAAAAATAGACTTACCTTAAATCATTTTTATATACAAATAATACACATGGTGTCTTCAAAGTAAAATATAAAGATCTACTCACTTTTCCTCTGTTCCAGCGCTGCATCACGGGTGTTACTCTAACACAAACCTCCTGGCTGTCCTCCATTCCACCTCTGTTCTTCTTTGTTTTGCCCTACTTGGGATGCATCCCCGAGTAAGACAAATCTCTTCAGCAACGTCGGCTTCATTGTCAGTGTCGGAATGGAGTGACGTCAGATGACTCCTTTCCCAAGCTCTCTAGCCAGCGCTAGAAGTGCAGGCTAGAGAATTTCAATAGCAACCGCAGCGCATGTGCTGAGGGAGCAGAGAAGAGGAACATCCTGTGGAGGTCTTTTCTGTTCTCCCTGGTCAGTCGATGCCTTGACATGCTGAGACATTGACTGACAGCCAGGAGCAAAACTGCTAGCACAATCTATAGATAAAATCTTATGCTCAGTCCAATGAGCAGAAGTTGTTTGGGGCACGACAGGTGCCCTTCAACTCGATTATTAGTAAAAACAGTCACCACATGGTTCAACAGTTCACATAGCAAGGAAATGAAACTGATACACAATACAAACAGTGGTAAAGGTCTAGGTAAAGGAAAAAGAAAAAAATCAGTTGTGCTTACTGTATACATCTTGTACCAGGTGACTAAGCTTACTTAATAAAATGGTATAAATCTGCAAAGTTAAATGTGTGTCTTCTTACCTTGTCCTTTTCATGGGGCAGCAGACACACAGGTGGCAATGAGGCCAGAGACTCATACCCATGCCTGCCTTCTGTCACCTTTGCATTCAACTTATAGAGTGAACCTTCCTTCATAATTCTACCATGGCCCAATGCCCTTTTAACAGCAAGGCGCAGCTGCTGATGAAATGCTGATGCTGCCCCTGTGTTGCCACCATACACTGCAACTACATCCCGCTGATTCCGCAGGAAACGCTCAATATTCTTCAGTGAGGAACCCCCTGGTTCAGATAATCCTTCCAGTGCCCGCCTTAAGAGTCTGTGCCAGTCTACGCCCTCTGGCCGCCCTGGATTCCGAGTAGTTTTGGGTAGGGCTAAACGGCCTGGATTATCAGGGTCTTTGTAAGAGTTTTGACCCTTATTAGTGACCTTAAGGACGGTCCCATCCTTGACACTCAGCTCCAGCTGCTCCAAGACTGTGTGGCGGTCTAGACCATGGGATGTGGACACGGCATTGCAAAGACGCTCCTCTGATGGACGCTGTTTCTGCTTCTTCACCTTTCTGATTGCCTCCAGAATCCATTGCGTGTACAGAGGATTTGCCAACTTCACCATGATGACTGTATATCCATAGAGGTTTAGCCCTGGTCCTGGAAGGAGGAAAGGAGGCTGGCACTGACCAGAAGCCTGCTCAACATAGCATATGCTAGCCCACAGTCACACCAGTCTCACCAAAGTCCAAGGGCACTGATACATAGACAAGAAAAGAAGATGGGATGCAGTTGATATTCGCTTGTATCTGCTGGATACAGTTGTACAATGGTGCCAAGGGAGAAAGGTTCAAACCTGAAGGGAAGATAAAGAAAAAAAGATCATACTTGGGAAAAATATAGCAAAGACAAAACATCTAGTACAAGGAAATCAGAACCAAAGAAAAAAAGCATTACTAGTTATCACTAAAATGTGGACTACGCATTATTCTGCACAACTGAAAACTGATGAAAATGTGATATTTTAACTTAAGACTATGGCTACAGTAGATGAAAATGAATTTTTTTTGTTACACCACATACAGTTCTGCATAGACTGGAAGTCAAGTGATAACACTAACTATGAGCATTAAGTGAAAAAAAAAAAAAAAAGTGTACATAAATACATGGGTTTATTCACTTAACACCAAATAACATAGCTGAGGCTTAAACAACCCAACTTAAGTATTTTTTCATATCAGATATTTTGGCCTAAATGTTTTAGTTTGTTTTTCAAGTCACTAGAATTCTGTGCTTAGCAAACAGACCCCATTAGCAAAACAGATTAAAATGCTATATTTATTTGTCCAGCCCTCAGTTGTCAAGTAGAGAGGGGGGTGCACATGTACTTCATGTAAGACCTACACTATCAAATGCTGAAGTTTAGACATGTGGAGTGTACAGTAACAGGTGAGTACTACACAGAGATAAAACCGAGCACCAACATCACAGTAGGGCAGACAGATCAAATTGCTCACGAACGTGTAAATACACAGGTAATTCCAACATTATACACATATTGCAAAACCTCACGCTATGCTTACAAATATAATAATAATAATATTATTATATCTGTGTTGCTAAAATAACACATCTACACAGAAGCTGACTTCCTATAAATTTCACATTGTCAATCATTTATTTCACCTAATCATCAAAAGCAACAATATATAGGTATAGGCAGAGGCTTTGATACAAACTGAGAAAACATGATCAACAAGCGGGTAATTGGTAACACACACTAACAGTGTACCAGGAAATATTAGCAGACAGATGCATCTCTGGCACAGAGACTGGGATAAGATGGCTATGCATATGGACAGATGGAAAAACACAGATGGGCACATGAACACACAGAACGCACAGGTGGGCCCATAAACACAACAGTAGTGCCAGCTACCAGAGATGCATTGAAAGAATAGCTGGTGTCTCAGAGCTGGTGGTGGCTAAATCATTGTAATACAAAAAGAAAGTTGTTTATAAGTCAGTCTCTCACACACACACAGAGTGCAGCACAATCAGTATCACTGGTAATCAGTGCAGCCACACAACCATAACCACAACACACACAGTGTGATCTATGTAAACAGTGAGCCTGGATACACACACACAGTATGATCTATGTAAACAGTGTGCCTGTACACTCACTATGACTGGATACACACACACAGTGTGATCTATGTAAACAGTGTGCCTGTACACTCACTGTCCCTGGATACACACACACACAGTGTGCCTGTACACTCACTGTCCCTGGATACACACACACACACACTGTGATCTATGTACATTCACTATACCTGGATACACACATACAGTGTGTCTGTACACTCACTATCCCTGGATACACACACAGTGTGATCTATGTACACTCACTGTCCCTGGATACACACACACACAGTGTGATCTATGTACACTCACTGTCCCTGGATACACACACACACAGTGTGATCTATGTACATTCACTGTCCCTGGATACACACACACACAGTGTGATCTATGTACATTCACTGTCCCTGGATACACACACACACACAGTGTGATCTATGTACATTCACTGTCCCTGGATACACACACACACACAGTGTGATCTATGTACATTCACTGTCCCTGGATACACACACACACAGTGTGATCTATGTACATTCACTGTCCCTGGATACACACACACAGTGTGATCTATGTACACTCACTGTCCCTGGATACACACACACAGTGTGATCTATGTACACTCACTGTCCCTGGATACACACACACACACAGTGTGATCTATGTACACTCACTGTCCCTGGATACACACACACACAGTGTGATCTATGTACATTCACTGTCCCTGGATACACACACACACACACAGTGTGATCTATGTACACTCACTGTCCCTGGATACACACACACAGTGTGATCTATGTACACTCACTGTCCCTGGATACACACACACAGTGTGATCTATGTACACTCACTGTCCCTGGATACACACACACACACAGTGTGATCTATGTACACTCACTGTCCCTGGATACACACACACACAGTGTGATCTATGTACATTCACTGTCCCTGGATACACACACACACACACAGTGTGATCTATGTACACTCACTATCCCTGGATACACACACACACACAGTGTGATCTATGTACACTCACTGTCCCTGGATACACACACACACAGTGTGATCTATGTACACTCACTGTCCCTGGATACACACACACACAGTGTGATCTATGTACACTCACTGTCCCTGGATACACACACACACAGTGTGATCTATGTACACTCACTATCCCTGGATACACACACACACACACACACACACACACACACAGTGTGATCTATGTACACTCACTGTCCCTGGATACACACGCACAGTGTGATCTATGTACATTCACTGTCCCTGGATACACACACACACAGTGTGATCTATGTACACTCACTGTCCCTGGATACACACAGGGCATTGCTGGCAGCAGAGTGCCCGGTATCTCAGTGTCTGTCCATGGACATACTCCACATCGCTATACAGGGAAGCAGGTGATCATTGGGCCGGTGTATTTCCCCCGGGGGGGCGGCAGCCCCCTGCGAGCACTATCCGGCTAGGAGGAGTACGCGAGTCCCCGGCTCGCTCAGGCGGTGTAGGCCTCAGGCCAGGGCCTGGCAGGAGGTCGGGCTGCGGCCCCGGGAGGAGCCTGGAGAGGAATCAGGCACCCGCAACCCGGCCGGGAGGGAGCGGAGAGAGCTCACACCGCGGGAAACGGGCGGTGAAAGGCGGTCTCTTACCGGGTGTCCCAGGAGGCAGCAGCTACGGAGCGCGGAGACACCCCGGGCTGATGCGGCGGCCATCTTGAAAAGTGAAACCTAGGGAGGCGAGCCAAAGCTGGGAACAGCGCGGGGGGTGTAACGGCAGGTTCCTGGAAGAGCGCGGAGGGCGAAAAACACGATGAACGGAACAGCTCGGAGGGAGGGCAGGCGGAAAGACGGAACAGCGCAACGCCAATCTGCAGGAGGTGACTGGAACAGCCGGAACTAGGGGCGGGGATGTTGTGGTGACGTCACGCCGATAGCGCTCACTGTGGCCGAGTAGGCGTGTGTTTTGTTCGTGAACTGCGACGTGCGCTACAAGCCAGGAGGAGTCTGGGAGCGGAGCAGGTCGTTCAGGAGGCGGGCTTAGCAACAGCTGCGCACTTCGAGTTTTGATTGGCCGAGTGACGTCAATAAAAGGCGGGGCCTGCTGTTGTTGTTGGAGGGTTTCTGCGAGTCAAAGAGGGAGGAGTGACTGTGTGTGGAACAGCTCTCTGATTGCCGTGAGGAGGGAGAGAGCACAGAGAAGACGCGGTCAGAGGAAAGGCGCTTGGAGTGGAAGTTGGGGAAATGTGACGGAGAGGAGGGCGCGGGGCCCGTTCGCGCCATCTTGAATGAGGGCAAAACATTGTAGCGCCATCTTGTTAACTCTTTCTTTGCTCTGGCACGTAGTGGCTTTTAGTGTTACCCTATATAACCCCACCCTCCCGCGCTTATACGCACAATTCGCAATAATGCTATGTGACTGTTATGCAGACACAGTGTATGTGTACGGGCGGGTCTCAGGGAGCCAAACTAGTACATTACAAAGAAACCCATTCACAGCCTGACATCCCCAGGAACATGGCCAATGCTGGCATCATTTATTATAAAACAAACATAGCTGGGGAGATCGCAAGAGAGAGAGGGGGGTGTGTGTGTGTGTGTGTGTGTGTGTATATATATATATATATATATATATATATATATGTTTTAGTATAGGAGGAAAATATTCATTACTCAAACATGCAATGTGAAAAAAAAAAAAACATTCCTATTTTTAGTTTTTGGACTGTTTATAGGAGGGAGATACAGATTTGGTGATGCAGTGTCCAGAATATTCCTATCCCATGGCAGTGCCAATATCATATGGCTGGCGATAACTATTGTACTCCCCTTTATTTACTTATCTGCAGTGAGCATTTTCCTGAAGACAGATTTGCCAAAGATGTGTAATTGCATTCAAGGAGAATTGGGATATCGCCTACGTTTGCAATTGTCCGTTCCTGTTGTTACGGGAGCTGATAGATTTGGGAGTAGATTGTGGCAAAAGAGGAGCATTCACTCGTTATATAGACCGTATCTATTCAGTGGGAATCCAAGCACTTTTTGTAAACTAATATCAAAAACAAGAGAGCACAAAAAGTCCTATTTCAAATAAAAGTAGAATACAAAAGTATATAAAACAGCAACTATGCATAATGCACATCATACATTTCCTCATCAGTTTCACACAGACCATACCGGTTCAAAGTGTCAGCGCTTAAGTAGATACACCACTAACTGCACTTTTAGGGTTGTCTACACATATTTTATAGAAAAATAAAAAAGTCTATAATAATAAAAAGTATATATCACAACATATGCTACTAATGTATACATTTATACAATATAATGTCCAAGTGTCCTGGGGTAATCTGTAAGGGGGTATTTTTTCCAAGGAGTGTGGATCCAAAAATTTGGAAAATTCCCCCATACAGATTACCCCAGGACTCTTAGACATTATATTTTTATACATGAGTAGCATATGTTGTGATATATGCTTTTTATTATTGAAGACATATGTTTATTCTATAACTTATGTGTAGACTACCCTAAATGTGCAATTAGGGGGTGTATCTATTTAGGCGCTGGCACTTTTAGAAAACCTTCTTGGATTAAACAAGCTCTGCAGGTGGATGATAGATGTAATTATATACCATACTAGTTGCCACTTATGGATTACACAGGGTTGCAATATCTACCATCTTTTCCTGGACCTTATATGTATGTATGTTGATGGCAACCACATAAGTAGTGCAACTGTGTGTGGTATGTAGAATTTAGATACTGCTGCATGAAATTAAGTTATTCAACAGGGACTCATGCAGCATATACATTATACATACGGCAGGGTAGCACTTTTTATATGTAGGTTAGAGAACGCTCCTTGCAAAGCAGTAATGGCTGCTTGCAGTCAGTTGTACCACTGTCCATTTCCAGTAGGAGTTCACATTTGTGATTGACGTAAAATGTGAACAGACTTTTCTAATAGTACTGGAGGTTATTGAATTAACTATGATTAAAAGGGACATTCTAAGCAGCCTTATCGTCTTGTTTAAAAAGTTTGCATAATTCAAAGTTGCCTCTCTTGACACACTTAAATAATCAACTCTCTGCATGCTTGCCCCATGGACGAAACTATTAATGAGATTTCCATTAGGCTGACAGCAGCCACCATATGGCTACAGTCCGTTTATTAGTGCCCCAGACGAAGGCGCATTCATAGCGCCAAAACGCATGTTGGGCTAATTTCCACTCCCTTATTCACTTTCACTGCACTGATGCACATCTATTTAGTTTGTTAGTAAGGGCTAGTGGGCGATAAACGGACGAGAGGGAAGGGGTGGCACATTGGTACCAAGCCAAGAAGGCTATTTAGTCGCTGCAGGTAGCTCAGGCTAGCTAATTCACCGGTCTGTTCCACAGAGATCGAGGATTTAGTAACTGCTGCATTCAAACTCTAGGAAATCGCATTGTGCCAATGTATAGTGACATCTCTGAAGTATTAATACTCCGCTCCTGATCTCTCAAACCTGCAACAATTGTTATTTATACTTTGCTACATGTTACAACTTTCACTATAACTTCTGAGTGTACAGCTGAAAAGTAATAGGGATCTTTCTGATTAAACAAAACGTTTTGCAGGATAACTGTGCAGTGTATATAGCGCTTCATTTTTAACTGGAAAGGTGTCAGTCGCAAGCCAAGTCCATTGAAATAAATTCAAGTGCATATTGCTTTAAAGATTTTGCTTAAATGCTTCTTGTAGAAAAGTATTGAGCTGCATGGTTTGATATGTCCTTGTATGGGAGACCCCTCTCCATAGTACTCTCAACCTATTTATGTCTTCTAGGTTGGATGTATGTGATATTATGAAGGCAACTTGTAAGGCGTCGGTCTATCGATGCTGGTTAGAGCCTATGTTTTTGTCAAACTGGTCCCCGCTGTTTGCCAATTAAAAAAAAAACAGGGCTGGTGCCAACAAAATGCTGCACCGTAACCACTATATTGTAGTAGTTATGGTGTGTGACAGAGCTCCCTGTACCCCTTCTTCTGGAGCTTTGCCACCCAACCAGGCAGCAGCTCTCTCATTCCAGGCAGGTATCGCCCCCTCTGCCTTTTCCTCTGCATCTTTCCTTCCAGTCAGGTATGTCCACTCTGTAGCTCTGCTTACAGTGATTGCTATTGCCTTTACAAAGACACTTTCAGCTCTCAGGTCTAGCTCTCTTGATTTACACAATTCCATAATTACACAAAATATATGTTAACAGGCCTTGCTATTCAGGTAGTGCATATTGTTGCTACCAACAGAGGATGCTATACAGGCTCCATAGCCAATTCCACCTAGTTGGTAGCAATCCTCAGCAGGACAGGACAGCAGACAAAACACTGAACACATTTTACACTCACCCAGCACCTATAATGTGCACAGGGTGGCTAAAACATAAGAATAGCCCAGGGACCTACATAAATAGTCTGCCTGAAGCGCCTGGTTATGGTGACTACCATCACATATTATATGCCTCTCTAAGATTGTTGTAATAATCTGCTTAAATTAATTAACCGAGACACTGGAAACAAAAACTTGCACACAGTTGTTCTTATTGTGGGGAAAAAATAAATAAATTTTTTAAATAAAATGATTAATCCCACAAGCAAGCTTACCTCCCAAGATTGGGAGCTATTTAGTGAGGCAGAAAAGTGAAAGGTTTAGGCCAAAATGACAGAGCTTGGAAAATAGAAGAATTGGGAAATATTTTCCAGTTCAAGTATATTGATCCAATATTTGCTATTCCCTGATCAATTCCAAACAGTTTTTTATTTAATGAAGATTACTTGAGTATCTCTCCACATACCTGCCCCCCCCCCACACACACACACACACACCTTACTGCTCCCATTCCCCATCCACATAATCCATTATTCCCATGCACACAGATACTAATGTACAAACAGCCGCATCCACATAAACCTAGACAACTCCACAACAGCCAATTTCCCACCCAAGCAACTCTACAGGTAGCCTTCCCCCTGACTTGCACAACCTCAAACGTAATCAACCGCACAAGGATCATACCCAGAAAAAGGCAAAACCATGCTCTCACATACACCCATCAGGCTGCCATCAGGGGGCGAAAACCATGGGGACCCTGCCGCCGGTACACCTGCAGCGTGGTCTGCACGCTGAGGGGGCCCATCGGGTGGCCCTATATCTTCAGGGGCCCAGTCAGCGCTGCGGCCGTGCAATAGCGCAACCGGTCCCCTTTTAAAAAAAATAAATAAAAAATATTGCATCCGCAAGTAATGCTGGGAGGAAGTGACGACCGGTCCCTTCCTGCCAGCTCCCACCACGCGGTAGGGAAGAGACACAACCAGGCCGTGAGGACGGGAGAGCCACGCTGACTCCCATCAGCTCCAGCCACCCTCCTGCAAAAAAAAAAGTGAGAGAAATTAGCTACGTTTGTTTGTATGTCAGTATGTGTATATATGTCTGTATCTATGTATCTGTATGTGTGTATGTATATGTCTGTCTGTTTCAGTATGTGTGTGTGTGTGTGTGTATCTGTGTCCTTTTTGTACCAGTGCGTGTTTGTGTCTGTGTATTCCTGTGGGTGGGATTTGGAGGCGGGGCCCAGACCTTGAGCAGTGTTAGGGGCCCCAACATTTCTGATGGCCTTGCATACACCTCAAGCAGCCATACTAGTAGTGTCCCCAATAACCTGCAACACCACAAGCAGCCTCCCCTACACACAAACACAATCCTCTCACAACCCTGTCTCACTTATCTAATTATTCCCCAAACTAGTTGCACTTACCCACCCAGTCACATACAATAAACTCTGCATATATGTATTTATAAAGGCTGGTACAAGAATTTTTGCCAAGCCACTGGACCACCAGGGATGGAATCTCCCCCCCACCCCAGTTTGCACATTTACACACACTGCATACACTAACACAACACACACTCTGCATACGCTCCACATTAACACACTCTGCATACGCTACACACTAACACACACTCTGCATTCATTACACACTAACCCACACTCTGCATTCACTAAACTATGCACACACTCTGCATTCACTATACTGACACACACTCTGCATTCACTACACTAACATACACTCTGCATTAACTGTACACACAGCATCCACTACACAAACATCCTGTATTCACAGTACACACACTACATCCACCACAAATTGAAACACTCTGCATTCACTATACACAGACGCTGCGTCTAATACACACTACATCCACTACAGACACTGCATCCACTAAACACATTTCATCTAGTACATACACACACTACATCCACTACTCAAACACACTCTGCGTTCACTATACACACTGCATCTGCTACACACACACTCTGCATTCACTGCACAAACAGTATCTAATACACACAAACACTACATCCATTGCACACATTCTAATTCACTTCCACTATACACACCACATTCAGTCCTGCATCATTGTCAGCGGACTAGGTAGGGTCCCCAGACCTTGTGCTTTGTCAGGGGCCCCAAAATTTCTGATGGCGGCCCTGGGTGCAGCTGTAATTTAACTGGCCGTTTCATTGCAAAACTGATACTGCAGCCACAAGTGAGCAGAATCAAGGACATTTGGGATCCGAGATATGAAACTGGAATCGCTGCAGCCCACTATGCCATGAGTAACATAAGCATTGTTGTGGCTGTAAAACCAAAACACTTGCAAACATAGTTATAGGTTGCTACCAAGCAGGTGGTTCAAATGATGGTATAGCATTGGGTAATGGTGAATTTAATTTAACCCAATGTGCCACTGAGCTGATGGAATCTGTAACTTTATTAAGAAATGTTTAGTTTTTTATAGGAGGTCGACTAGATTAATCTGAGGTCAGTTAAGTAAGAAGGTTATTTTACTAAGCATGTGTTTGTGTGTGTATATATATATATATATATATATATATATATATATATATATATATATATATATATATATACATACACACATTGGTTTTTCTGCATGCCTACCCACAATGAAGCATCTATTCACACTCAAGGAGACACACACACACATTTATACTCCGCCCCATGCACAATGAGCTAGCCAGCTGGTGTGTGGAGGGGGAAGGCAGGGGAGTCAGCTGATTGTTACAGGGGGAGGAAGCATCATCTGATACAGAGGAAGGAGCTGCAGTGTGTGTGTGCTGTGTTTTTGCATCGTGTGTCAGTAATTATTGTCACAGGTAAGCACCCTAAAACCTCCTCATGAGTACCCTCTAAAATGCCAGGCAGGGCATGTGAAAGAACAGAGTGTTTGCAACATAAGGGCATGTGGATATGGAAGAGGAAGAGCATCTCTGGGCATACTGTCCATGTTTGTATGAATGGAGTAGCAGTAGATACTGTGAACTATATTAATCTGTCTACAGTTTTGTTGTATCTAGATGTGTGGAAACTTGCATGTGCAACTATATATACTGCAGTTATATTCCACAGTGAACAGGGGCGGTATTTTACTAAAAATGCCTGGCAAACTCTTGTTCCTTGGTACGTGAAATGTGGTGACAGTTATATTTACATCTTTGTTCCGTCTCCCCTTTCTTCACACATCGGACTTAAAGGGACACTCCAGGCACCCAGACCACTTCTGCCCACTGGACTGGTCTGGGTGCCAACTCCCACTACTCTTAACCCTGCAACTGTAATTATTGCAGTTTTTTATAAACTGCAATAATTACATTGCAGGGTTAACTCCACCTCTAGTGGCGGTCTACTAGACCGCCACTAGAGTGCACTTCCTGATTCATAGCAAAGATTAGGTTTCCTCAGCCAGCGGGCGGGATCAGACTCGCCCACCAGCTGACGTTACTGGGAGGAGCGACGCCGACCCGAAACCACCGCCAAGGGACATCGGCAGGGTCTCAGGTAAGTGACCTGAAGTGGTTTTCACACATTCAGCTACCTAGGGTGGGAGGTGGGAGGGAAGAGGGTACCTGCAGTGACAGGAAAACAGATTGTTTTCCTGGCACTGGAGTTTTCCTTTAAAGCGGCACTGTCATGTAGAACTTACCTTTACCCAATCGCTTCCTCTTCTATTGTCTCTCAGAATCTGTTCTTCTTTTCAAACTTTCTGATCTAGTTTTCTAGGGACTACTTTGTCTTATGTATTTTTCCTATGCTTGACCATCTTTGTCCCAAGGAAGAGCTTAAGTCCGCTCCATTTTCTGTGGTCAAATAAATTTTCCCACAATACTCACCTCTCCTTCTGTGTTCTCACATTGCTTCATTCGCCATTCAAACACCCTGTCGTAGAGACAGGGTGCCGGCAAAACTACCAAATTTCGTCCTAACACAATCGTAGTGCGCATTGGGTGGGGACCCTTAAATGACAATGGGGGACCTACTATCTTTCACCCCGCACCCTCACGCCCACACACGGGCTGTGGGTGAGGGTCCTTAAATGACATGGGATCTGGAGCTCATGAAACTCTACTTAAATAGCATCCTCAATCACACCTTGGCCAAATTGGAGGCTAAATTTAATCAATTTTGGGCAAAGCTGGAAGATTGTCTGACAGGGATCGACTCTCTCAGCCCGTAGGGGAAACCCTGGGACCCAGCAGCGAGAGACTGGAGGGACTCCCTCATTTGTAAACCAGACTTTTTTAGTTTTTTTTAGAAGAGACTCTGAAGCTATCTTCCTGTGCACACTTGTGCCTGCTCATGCATGCACACTTCACAGCTGGTCTGATTGGGGGGGAAAAAAGATGTGGGGGGAGGCAGGCCACCTCTGTTAGCTCAGTGGAGCTAACCGTAGCCAGAAACAAACCTCCCTGGCTGTTGGTCAGCAAGAGAGGTGTTTCATTATTTAATGATAAAAGTCCAGGTTTCGCATAGAAATAGGCACTTTTATAAAAAAAAAAAAAAAAACTGTACACTGTACGGTCAGGAAGATAAATATGTATCCCTGACCCGATAGTGTTAAACACTATCTACGCCTTCCCTTGTACCCCTAAATATACTAAAATATTACTTTTATTCCAGTCTGCTTCTGGCTCTGCTCCTGATTTGCCTCCTTGCCTGACATCATCAAAAGTGTTGATCACAGCCAATCACAATACTTTTCCATAGGAAAGCACTGGATTGGCTCTAGTTTGTCAAGGAGGCTGATCAGGGACCGAGCCAGCACAAGCTAAACAACCCTAGCCCATCCGCATCTCTTCCTAGAGATGCATTAAATCAATGCAGACTAGGCAGATAATATAGCAGGTCAAAAGTAGTTTTAAAAAAATAATAAAATATATTGTACGAACAATGTTTTGCAGATCCATTAGAGAGTACAGACTGCATTTAGCATTGTGTTTCTGACTTGAATGATGAATGCAAAAATAAAATAGAGCACTATCAGGTCAGGCAAGGGTGGATAGAACGGAGTGAATACAGATGGTTATTTCAAAAAGCCTGATGAGATTTTCTGTAGAAATAACAAAAAGCACTGTTTCATTACCTTCAGTAACTTCTGTTAAGCTAAATAATGATAAACTGATATTGCATTATTAGTTTCATTTTTAGTAAATGTGATACAGTAGCAATAAAAGAAATCTAAGTATACTTTTGATATTAATGTGTTTCCTTACTTAACAGCACTAAACTTTTCCTTCGCTCTGAGCACCATGATCCACAGCCTGTTCCTGATAAATCCTTCAGGAGATATTTTTCTGGAGAAGCACTGGAAAAGTGTAGTATCCCGCTCTGTTTGTGACTATTTTTTTGAGGCTCAAGAAAGGGCATCAGAAGCGGAAAATGTACCTCCAATCATACCCACACCCCATCACTACCTTCTCAGTGTCTATCGACATGCTATTTTCTTTGTAGCTGTCATCCAGACAGAGGTGCCTCCACTCTTTGCCATTGAGTTTCTTCATCGTGTGGTCGACACATTCCAGGTGACATTTCTGTTTGTTTTTCTTTCTTTTTGGGTTGAGCCTTATCTAACCTTTTACTTAGCTCTGTGCTGTATACAAGAGTACTCAAGCTCATAGTTTTCTTCATTTTGCTAGGATTACTTTGGCTCATGCTCTGAGGCAGTCATCAAGGAAAATGTGGTGGTTGTTTACGAGGTTCTGGAAGAGATGTTGGACAATGGATTCCCCCTTGCCACGGAGTCCAACATTTTGAAGGAGCTTATTAAACCTCCAACCATCCTTCGTAGTGTTGTTAACACAATCACAGGTAAGATTAAGGAATAAGCAGAAATTAACGTTGCTATTCATGAGGAAGGATCTGGGAAGTAATCATTTTGTCAAGAATGGGAGCATTTAAAGAGTTATTAGTCTACCTCAACTCCTCAGAGATTGTAAGCTCCTTTTGAAAAGGGCCTTCTTTGCCTCTAATTATCCATTCTTTAATAAAGTGCTGCGGAATATCTTGTCACTATATAAATGATTATAATATAATTTATATAGCGCCAACATATTCTACAGTCTTTTACAATTCCAGAATAATATTTTATATGTAATTAATATGCAAAATATCAGACCAGCGGCGAAGAAGGCCCTGCTTAAAATCTAATAAAAATGTTTTTTTTTTTTTTTTTTTAAACGGTTTAGTTGTTGCACATTAATGGACAGTCATTATAACCTACTGAAAATGGGGCTTGGGTCAGAGAGAATCTTATGGATTTCTACTGGATAAAGGGTAGAGGAGCCAAGTGGTCCATATTTGATGTGACATGTTATTGAGTTCAAGACTATGAATCCTGGCAAAGTGGGAGAATGTAATTTATTTGTTTATTTTTCAGGCAGTTCTAATGTTGGTGACCAGCTCCCCACAGGTCAACTTTCTGTTGTACCATGGAGACGTACAGGAGTGAAATACACCAATAATGAGGCCTATTTTGATGTAATAGAAGAAATCGATGCTATCATTGATAAATCAGGTAACTCAGGGCTTCCCAAAATTTTATGGGCCGAGACCCACTTTTCAAAATGGTAATTTTTCGAGACCCACTTGCTTTTAATGCATATTTTAAAAAAGTGAAAATCATGGCAATCAGCTTTAGAGGCATACAATTGGCATACCATAGCAATCCGCTTTAGATGCACACAATTGGCACACCATGACAATTACTTTTAGAGGCAAAAAAATGACACACCATGGCAAACTGCTTTAGAGGCATACAATTGGCACACTATAGCAATACGCTTTAGATGCATACAATTGGCACACCGTGGCAATCCGCTTTACAGGCATACAATTGGAACAATATGTCAGCTTTAGATGCATAAAATTGGCACACTATAGCAATCTGCTTTAGATGCATACAATTGGCATACCATGGCAATCTGCTTTAGATGCATAAAATTGGTACATCATGGCAATCAGTTTTAGATGTATAAACTTGGCACATTATGGCAACTTTAGGTGCATACAATTGGCACACCATGGCAATCAGTTTTAGAAGCGTACAATTGGCACACCATGGCAACCAGCTTTAGAGGCATACATTCAGAACATCATGGCAATCCGTTTTAGAGGCATAAAATTGGAACATCATTGCAGCTTTAAATACATAAACTTGGCATGGCAATAAGCTTCAGAGGCATACAATTGGCATACCATGGCAAACAGTCAGATGCATAAAATTGGCATACCATGGCTGTTTTAGATGCATAAAATTGGTATAACATGGCAGTTTTAGAGGCATAATTCTGGGATATCATGGCCGTTTTAGAGGCAGAAACTTTGCACATCATGGCAATCCGTTTTAGAGACATACAACTGCTTACTCACAGACTCAGAATCAGAAATGCTGTTGTCCTGCTCTTTCATCCACGCACCTCACATTGATTATCCCAGTGGTGGAACTAATGTAGAGAGGACCCTGGTGCAAGTAAGTTTTCTGGGCCCCCATCTAGTGAAAGTGTGGCCAAAAGGTAGATCTCCATCTGTCGGAGAACTTCAACAATGCTATACCAGATGGGGATCTACCATTTTCTTATCATTGCAGGGTTATATTTGTGAGCAGTGTTTGAGCGTTTGAATGTAAGCATGTTTTTGTATTCAGTATATGTGTGCATGTATGGGTGTATTTGTACGTACTGTTGCCATTTGAATGTAGTGGTGTACTTGTTTGTAATGTTTGCGTTTGAATGCATGGGTGTTTGTATGTAGTGTCGGACTTGAAATGCAGGTGTGCTTTTTGAGTGGTGTTTGAATGAAGGGGTCTTTGTAGATAATTTTAGTGTTTTAATGCTGGGGTGTGTTTTGTATGTAATGTTTGTGTGTAGTGGATGCATTGTGTGTGTGTGTGTGTGTGTAGTGGATGCAGTGTGTGTATTGTGTTTATAAAATATACATATACACAATGTGTGTTTTGAATGTAAGCATGTTTTTTGTATGGACTATGTGTGAAGTGTGTACACATATACACAGACACACAAATACACACCCTGACACAGCAATACACAATGACACCTAGTTTCCCACACATAGATACAGACACTCATGTACACAGATACACACTGACACAAAAGGACACAGATACACATACACGCAGACAGGAGGTGAGGGTGACAGTGTGGGAGGGAGTGTGTGTGCTGGTAACAGTGTGGAGGCAGTGTGAGGGCAAAGTGAGAAAATGTTACGGGGTGGGCAGGCAGGGGGAGAAAGGGTTACGGGCAGGGAGGGGGAGCGAGAAGGGGCTGCGGGTGGGCAGGGCAGGGGAGAGAAGGGGCTGCGGTGGGCAGGCAGGGGAGAGAAGGGGCTGGCGGGTGGGCAAGCAGGGGAGAGAAGGGGCTGCGGGGTGGGCAGGGCAGGGGGAGAGAAGGTGGCAGGGCAGGGGAGAGAAGGCTGCGGGTGGGCAGGGCAGGAGAGAAGGGGCTATGGGTGGGCAGGGCAGGGGGAGAGAAGGGGGCTGGCGGGTGGGCAGGGCAGGGGGGAGAGAAGGGGCCATGGGTGGCGGCAGGGGAGAAGCTGCAGGGTGGGCAGGGCAGGTGGAGAGAAGGGCTGCGGGTGGGCAGGGCAGGGGAGAGAAGGCCAGCGGGGTGGCAGGGCAGGGGGGAGAGAAGGCTGAGGGTGGGCAGGGCAGGGGGGAGAGAAGGTAGCTGGGTGGGCAGGCAGGGGAGAAGGGCCGCGGCAAGCAGGGCAGGGGAGAGAAGGGCTGCGGGTGGCAGGGCAGGGGAGAGAAGGGGTAGCTGGGTGGGCAGGGCAGGGGGAAAGAAGGGGTTGCGGGTGAGACGCAGGGGAGAGAAGGGGTAGCGGGGTGGAGAGGGCAGGGGGAGAGAAGGCGTGACAGTGTGGGGAGGGGGGCAGGGAGTGAAGGGGTGACATTGGGGGAGGGAAGGGGGTGTAAGGGGTGACTGGGTGACATGGGGAGAGGGGGATGTCTGGGGACTGTGTCCTACCTTCATTGAATTCCCTGGTGATCTCCGGTCTGAGCTCTGCCGGGTGCAGAGCTGCAGACCGTGTAATAAGTCTTGCGAGCTCCCAGAGTGTTGCCATGGTAACGCTCTGGGAGCTCGCGAGATTTCTATCACACGGTCTGCAGTACTGCACCCGGCGGAGCTCAGACCAGAGCTGCTGGACAGACTGATTGGAGGGAGCCCGGCGGCATACAGGGCAAGCCGCCGGGCTCCCTCCTTGTGTCAGTCTGCTTGCCCGAGTCCCCTGCGGCCCTGGATGTGTGGGTCAGCGCGACACACACTTTGGGAACCGCTGAGGTAACTAATAGTGATTCCATATTTAAACTAGGTTAGACAAAAGCATAAAATGTACCTTATATGTTATGAGTAGTATCTCCTTTAACTTAATAAGAGAAGTGAAGGATGACGTGGACCAGTCTACAATCGTATGTTTAAATGAATCCCGCTGCATGCAAATATCTGTCCTTGACCCATTTATAATTAGATGGTGTGACACTGCCTTCCATTGATTCTATAGCAATGTATGGCAGTCTAGGGGACCCCTTTCCATGCCCAGTAAATGGCTGAAAATAATTCTGTAGCAACATAAATAATCACTTTCAAGTGAATTTTGTCTGCCATCACAGAGATAGCTGGCCTAGTCATCTTTTGATTGTGGAATAAAAGCATTTAGGAGATTATGGTTTAGCAGAGTGTTTTGTTTTTAACGTGTTCCAATTATTGCTTTTTTTTGCTTTCTCTTGGTAGGATTACCTTCTAATACTTGGGGCTGAACATGATATAGTAAAATCGTCTTGGGAAGAGTCATACTGTCATTCCAGTATTTGAAGCATTCATTGATTTGGCATGTTAGCCTTGCATCTGTAGGCGGTCTTGCTAGGCCTTTACCTAGCAAGACCGCCTCTATGAATCACTGACTCTTTTTGCATTAAAGGAGCACTATAGGGTCAGGAACACAAACCTGTATTCCTGACCCTATAGGGTTAGAACCACCATCTAGCCCCCCTTTTGCCTCCCTAAATATAGTAACATCTTACTTGTATTCAAGTCTGGAGCTGCATTGTTTGTCCCTGTTTCCTTTAGACCTGCCTGCTGACTTCATCAGAAGTGGTAGCCTGATCCAATCACAATGCTTCCCCATAGGATTGGCTGAGACTGACAGAGGCAGAGCCAGCACAATTCAAACACATCCCTGGCCAATCAGGATCTCCTCATAAAGATGAATTGAATCAATGCATCTCTGAGGAAAGTTCAGTGTCTGCATGCAGAGGGAGGAGATACTGAATGTTTGGATGCATTTTAGGCAGCCATGACCCAGGAAAGATCTCTAACAGCCATCTAAGGAGTAGCCTGTGAAGTTATCACTAGGCTGTAATGTAAACACTGCATTTTTCTCTGTCTGAAAAGACAGTGTTTACAGCAAAAAGCCTGAAGGTAATGATTCTATTCACCAGAACAAATTCAATTAGCTGTAGTTGTTCTGGTGACTATAGTGTCCCTTTAAGATTTTGAAATTCTGAAAGCTTTAGTGAATAACCCTTTGTAAGTAATGGGTTGTTCTCTCTAACCTTAACCTCTAATATCATTTTTATAGGTTGCACTGTTACAGCTGAGATTCAGGGAGTGATTGATGCCTGCGTTAAACTGAGTGGGATGCCTGATCTGACGCTATCTTTTATGGTGAGACAATTTGAAGGTGTGGAACTGCATGGGGATAATAGTATTTAATCAGGAAAGACACATTCAGATTACTCTGGTTTTCAAGTACGTCTTGGGGATCTTACCTTAGCCCAACATCCAGGGGTTGTCACGATTACTCAATTTAATGGTACTCCTTTTATCTACCTCGGAAAGATGAAGGGCAAAGGCAACCCTGCCGGGAATTGAACCTGTGACCCAAAGGTTGAACAGATTCTACTGATGATGCATTAGCTCTTTTCATTGACATACAATGATTGGGAATCATGCACATTTAATGACTTTGCAAACCCTGAGCATACTGCGCAGTTAGTGATATTACCATTAAGGCAGCAAGAATAGTGCAATGGGAATTGGGTGCCATCAGTGGTACAGCCTTCAAGACAGGTGGGAATGCTGCGTGTTATAGTAATAATGTTGTGCCTAGACTGAGGGGGAAAAAACCTTTTTGGTTTTCATAGGATATCCATAGTAATAAACTCGTCACGTCACCTCCTTTGCGTTTTTTTGTTTCTCAGAATCCTCGATTATTGGACGATGTAAGCTTCCATCCTTGTGTGCGTTTCAAGCGATGGGAGTCAGAGAGAATCCTCTCCTTCATTCCCCCTGATGGCAATTTCCGACTGTTGTCCTACCATGTCAGTGCCCAGAAGTAAGACCTTTTTCATTTATTAAGGATGATAAATATTAAATGAGAATTTGCATAACTTAAAATCCCAAATTCTCATGGTTTAGTAGATACACCCACATTGAAATTGCATGCATTTAATTTATTTTTATTTTTTTTGCAATAGCTACAGATCACTTGTCTGCAGCTTTTGCAAGCCCATCATCCTTTCTTCCCCAGCCTAGACTTAATGTGGCTGGGCAATTACGGACTTTCCAATGCAGCTCAATGACAAGTCTTTGCTAAACAACCAGACCGTAACAGCACCAGTTGTCTGATTAACTTTCTTACAGCCCACCCTCCAGCTGTCAGATTATAGAATTCAATTTCTTTTGAATTCTGCACTTTTTGTAAAATGAAAAAAGGGACACTCTGTACACATAGAGCACTTCAGCAATCTAAAGAGATATAGGGGTCTTGAGTGTCCCTTTAATACAAAAGTTATACTGATTATGTGGGACTTTCTCTCTTACAGAGCCTTCTATTCATGCCATGATAGATTTAACCCACCGTGACATTGAGTTCAGAATCTCCCATCTTAATATCGCTCAATGTTTTTATTTTTCTTCTGTTGAGCAGAGAAATGTGGATGATCATATTGCTTGTGATGCACCATGTCTACCTGGTTAGTTATGCAGGATGTACTCATTACTAGACTTGGGCACAAATCCCTTCCTGTCACATTGAACAAATCAAATTCTTGGTAAAATATGGATGAATGAATAGATTTGTTCAACATAGCTGGACCTGGAAAGGATTTGTCTACTCATTACCTCCGTAGCAGGAACTTACTGATTGTGCCTTGCAGCTTGGTGGCAATCCCTGTGTACGTGAAACATGGAATCAGTTTTCGAGAAGGTACAAGTTCTGGACGCTTTGAGGTGACGCTTGGACCCAAACAAAGCATGGGAAAAACAGTGGAAGGTGTGACCGTCACTGGGCAGATGCCAAAGGGTGTCCTCAATATGACACTGACCCCCTCACAGGGAACATATGTTTTCGATCCAGTGACCAAGGTCAGGAACACATGTTGTGTTGTGTGTCTACAGAAAATTGGAATGTACTTTGTAGTTTCTTGCGTTGGCAAAATGGGCTGCACTTTGCTACAACATTGCATATTGTATTAGTGTATGACTGTGCATGTTAATATAAAACTCTATTTCAATACACATTTAAAATCAGACTGAAAAGGGATGTGGCAGTGTGCCCAGATAAAAGTATGTCCATATTTGGTTTTGTATTTAGATGTGTGTTTTCATGTACAACTATAGTTTGGCATAATTGTGTTCATCGCTATGCTTTTGTAAATATCTCATGCTTCCTTTCTACTGCAAACGCCTCTTGACTCAATATCTTACTTGCAGCTGTTGTCATGGGATGTGGGTAAGATAAATCCTCAGAAGTTGCCAAGTTTGAAGGGAACTATGATCCTCCAGGCTGGGTCTTCAAAGCCAGATGAAAACCCTACACTCAATTTGCACTTCAAGATCCAACAGTTGGCCATCTCTGGTATGTCAAGGAGAGTGGTTGGGTATTGTGCTTGCAATATCACTGCAATTCATTTATCCACTATCAACTACATTTGTTTAATCAGAGTAACAAGGAATACTATATGCTCTAGTAATGTTAAATCTTCTAAAAACCTTTGGCTTACATAAAAAAATGGTATTTCAAAACTGGTAGCTATTTCAAATTTTTTTTTTCTTGTCCATAAACAGCAAAACATACACTAGTCTAAAATAACCAGGCAGAATGAAGTACAGTCATCTTAAAATATTACATTTCCATAATTTGATATTGTAAGAAATACAGGGTCCCAGAACAGCTGGAGGGACCGTGTGCCAGTAGTAAATAGGCCACAAATCATCCTGATTGGCTAAAGGGTGTGATCTTCTGGATTCCATGCCATGTAAATCTGAAAAGGTGCCAAACATGAAAACAAATACTCAGGGGAAAAAAACCCAAATGGACAAACAAAACATACTGGATGAAGTAAAAGGATGAACAGATGCCAACTATAATTATTCGGTAGCAAAAACAAGACCACTCCCAGCCAACATAAAGATAACAAAATGCCTTTTTTGTCTTGAAAAGCTCCAAGCTAAGTACACTCTAATTGTTACTCAGGTGACTACAAAACAAGGCATATTGATAAAATGGATTGCAGAATGGGAAACCGCAGTGAAATTAAAGCAATCTGATGCAGAGGTCATGAGTGATATACCATGCGTTTTTGTGCCTTAATATAGCTCCCACGGAAGGTACACCCACCTGGCCATAGTGATTTAGTACCTGTTTATAGGTTATAATTAATATATCTCTATATGTTGAATAATGTTAAAGCAGTATTTTGTCTTTTCCTTTTCTTCAGGCCTGAAGGTAAACCGACTGGACATGTATGGAGAAAAATACAAACCCTTCAAAGGCATCAAATACATGACCAAGGCTGGAAAATTCCAAGTCAGGACATAGGGCTAGAGTTCAGTCTGCCTTTTCCTACCTTGTGTTCTGTTATTGTTAATGCTCCTATCTCAGTATCTGTGTGCGTGTTGCTATGTATAAGAATGCTAGTATGCCATATGTGTGGATGGTTTGAGTTGCACCGTGTGGCTCTACAGTAGATCTTGGCAACTGCTAAACTTCTGTTGAGCAGTGAGGATGTGTGGTGATGGCTTGCACTGGCATTCTAGTCTAGAGTAGATGAAAACTAGATTAGTGTGCCTGTAGAGAATGTGGTGTAGTCCTATGTGTGCAGTATGTTTAAAAATAAAAGTTGTGGATATGAAGAGTGCATTATTGTAACATGTTCATAATACACTATACAACTGTGACCATTTTGACATAAATAATTACTGAACATGTTCTGCTGTGGTTGTGTGACTACTATGAAAGATATGTGATGGCAGTATGTGTAAGGGTTATATTTCTGATTTGCATTCACGAGTAAAGCAGGACCAATACAGTGAAAGCCGCCATGCTATAGAATGTTGGTAACATTAAGACACCTGGAAAGATATATAATTTGTTTCCAGGGTTTTTGTTGGGGAAAGGAAGAGATATACAACTGGCTAGTGGTCTGGAACCTTCTGATTCAAGACCATTATATGAAGATTGTCCTCATTTATTAAACCATGATTGTTCAGGTACAGGTAACTTAAGTCTGAAGATTTGATTTGCAGATTTCTTGTGCATGTAAACACTACCCATGACTGGTTTCTGTGTTGCAGGATAATCATATTTTCCAGAAATTACCCTATTTTATGTGTACAACAGAATCTTTCCTGCACTACTTTCTTTAGACAATGAGACCATTTTGCTGATTTTGAAATGTTCAGTGACCTCAGGTCCAGCAACGTGTAAACAATCTTTCACTTGTGTCTAATAAAATGGACCTTGGTACATAACTAGTGTGTTGTTACTCAAATGTTTTATTGTTGATTGCTTTCTTATAAGCCTTTTGTTAGATACCGATGAGTTTCTTTTCCTTTGTACCCAATAAATCCAGCAGTTTGTTTAACATAAGATTCAAATTTTCAGCAATAATGACACTAAAAGGGACAAAGCTTTACAAACACTCTCTATATTTATTATGTTTATGGTGCAATCAATCTGAGTGGGCCCCTTCTTGTTTCCTGTTAAATTATTTTTTGCCAAAACCCAACCCATTCTGCACCTACTCTGATCACTCTTTCACTTTCTCTCTCTAATTCCATCAACCATAGGCCCAGCTCTCTCATGCTTTTAGAGCAGCACATCTTCAAACACACAAAATATATCACTCAGACATTGAAGAATGTATTATTTTTTTTTTTATTTTTTTTAATGCACACAATTTTTATGCTGTTTATCCACCAAACATAATCCAAAGTTAAAGGGATGCTAAAGTCCTAAGAACAACTACACTTTAATGTAGTAGTTCTGGTGTGTATAGCCTGTCCCTGCAGGCATTTTCATGTAAACATTGCAGTTTCAGAGAAAAGGCAGTGTTTACATTGCTCCCTAGTGACACCTCCAAAAGGCATGGCAGTCACTCATACAGCTACAAGGGCTTCCTGGGTCAGTGCTGTAAAACGTTTAGTTGTATACTGATGTTCCGTGTGACGCTGAACTTTCTCCATAGTGATGCATTATTCAATGCATCTCATTGAGGAGATGCTGATAGGCCAGCGTGGTGCTTGGCTGGAATAATAAGATGTAGTCCTATTTAGAGGGGGCTGGCTTTAAAGTGTTCCTTTACAGAAAAAGCTTTTTAAAAATTAAAGGAAAATATAAAGTTCTATTTGCCCACCTGCTATGGAGCGCAAATAGAAAAAAACAAATGGAAAAATCCTATTTCCCAGTGTTCTGCGGTGTTGTACAATAAACAAGAATTGTGTAGGTATAAAGTCAAATACTCCACTGCTAGAAGACTTCTGCACAGCAAGAAAAATTAGTTCACCAAAATCGATTTTGTCCGGGGGAAATTTTTTTTTTTTTTTTAAGTGGAACAGAGTGTCATCCATATGGTGTTTGGTTCATACGAATTTTGTCCATGTGTTAGTTTCAGGAAAAACTACTAGAACTGACTAAAATGTCATCATGCCATGCTAAAATATTGCCTAGTTAGGCATTTTTTTTTTTTTTTTGGAAAGCCAATTTTGAGTTGTCATAATTATATCTGTAATTAATAATGTGTGAGTGTTTTAAAATTGTTTTGGGGGCAGGGCTTGGCAGCCCTACATATATGCCTTAAAAATAAGCTTTTCTTGTGTATAATCACATTGCCTGAAGCATCACCTGTGTTTTGGATAACCAGAAAATAAGTGGGAACCTGTGAAGACACAATTTAAGCCATTCTGCTGTCTTATAACACACGCGGCCTAGTCAGCCTAAAGGCCTGGTGACCGGGGGTGGTGGCCAAACCCTCGGCACAGTGCTAGCTCAGCATAAAAATCAGCCTGTGACTCTTCTCCCCCCCCCCCACCTATGGACCAGTGGGGGATATCCCGGTCCCCACTGGGGGCACTCACAGCTTCCTTGCACAGAAATCTCCATGAGGAACGAATGTCACAGGTCGCGCCCAAAATGACCGCCTTAAACCAACATACTCCCCAACCGGAGACCTCATCACTCCAGACCTGAAGAGAATGCTTCGACACCCGCTTTGATCGGCTGTGTCAGGAGTTCTGGAGGAGAATACAGAGCAGAAGCTCGCCAGTTACCGTGCCTGAGGAGCCTGTACCCCAAACTACCGTGACGAAGCACCGACCCTACCCTGGGCTGGGAATCCAAGCGAAGGCTGTACCTACCAGCCACATGATCACAAGAAGGGCTCACCATAACCAAAAGCCCTCATGGGCCTGCAAATCTGCTGCACGCAGCAGGAAAATGCCTGGAGAAGCTGATGAGGCCCCTTCTAGGCATGTGCTTGTGGAGATGCAGAACTCAGACGCAGCACACCACCCATGAATAGGCAAGCATGAAGACCAGCTGGAAGTAGAGCACAGCATAAGGGCATACACAGATACCAGTCCAGGCATGTTCGCAGACTCTCTAGCATGGCCTACAGGGCATAGGATAGACCTATGACATAGCCCTCGCAAATACCACTAGCCACTCCAGTCTTAGCAGGGACTGAAATGGAAAAATCAATCAATGAATTGATTATTTCTTTGTGTATCTGCCTCTGGCCAAATTAATGAAACAATGCGTGCACGCTCCCTGAAGTAATTCACACCAGACACAGGTTCCAGGTTGTTGAATAACTTGAGGAAAGTTTATTCAGAGGGGACGGCAGGTCCCTTTTAAAGCAAAATTACATCATAAGCATTGTCAGAGATAACATGGAATAATACATCAATAATTGGTTAAGTGTTAAGTGGTCTTCTTAAGGGACTGCCTACTAAGCCAGGAAAACACTGGAACCATGAGGGTCTCCCAGGCCCCAGCGCCATCTTGCTGCACGGGGTAGTTAGTCGGCCCGGCTCTGGGGGGGGGGGAGGGGTTAGAAGCTTCTAGCAGCCATTTTGTCTAAATATGCGTGTATAGCTTATATACTGATTTTAGTGAGATGAGTAAATAGACATTTTACTAACTAAGAAATATATCAAGACCCTATTTCCACAACAGGGACATGCTGCATTTTGCTTTGGCTTCTTTTTTTATGCCTTCTCTTTTTAATTTAACTTCCTGATGATGTGTAACAAGTGGCACTAAGCTTCATTACTATCGCTAGCTGGATTTACAGCTACTCAGCTTAACTTAAATCTATGTTATAACATGCTAATTATTAATCATATGTGCTTATGAAACCTCTTGTACCTTAAACATGTCTGCACATCAGCTAATATTTTATATCTTGTTTAGATATGAGCGCCCAATCTGACTATGAAGCCTGTTTTTCCTACACTTGTTAATTATAATTTTAAAAGTGCAATTGTTCTCCATATGCCATGTAAACGTATGTCTGTGAGGTGCTTTCTACTGCTATTGTAGCATTGCAAGCACAACTGTCATCCAATCTGCAGCTCGAAGAATGTCAACCAAAGAAGCACCCGTCGAGGAGGCAGAGGAGGCCGTCGCCCCACGTTCAGAGTTTGAACCAAACCCTCAGGTCAATCCCGGCTAACGAGAGTAGTCAGCAAACCCACCTGGCTAACGTAGTGACTGAATTTGTAGAAAATGATCCGCTTGGTCCTTCTGGGTACTGGGAATTTTTCAAGAGCACCCTGGATTCCCTAGTGAGGCGCTGAGTGCACTTCCAGCTTTGATTAACGTAGTGACTGAGACTGGGCAATGAGGGCAAACATATGAGATGAGTAACGCGATGTAGAGGGCCGCAGCGTCTCGGTAGCCTTAACGTAGGAATAAAGCGCCGCAACGACACAGAGTTGTGGGTCAGCAGGGAAAAGGGATAGAAGACCGGGACTGAGTCCGACTTCATGCGACGGGAAACCCGAAAGGTAACTGCTTTGAAAGAGAAGGAGAAGGCGACCACATCGAAAGCACGAACATCTGAAACAATCCGAAATGAGACCAAGCAGAGAAGGATGGTAAACTTCGCCATGAGTTGACGCAGTGAGAGTTTATCATTTGCCGGCCATTCGCGTAAAAAAAAAAAAATGGAGGACAACGCTAACGTTACAGAGTTGGGTATATTTAGGGCCCGATGGGCGCCGTAGTTGAATCTTGCAGAGTAATCAAAAAAAAACAAAGGATCCTGGCCCCCGGCGTCCCTTGTGATGGGACATGGGCAGCTGAGATGGACGAACGGACTACGTTAATAGACCGCTAAGACTTCCCAGAGGAAAAAAGAGTGGATAGGAAGTTTAGGATCGCAGAAAAGGGGGCAGTAAAGGGATCGAGGCCCCGTCTCACACACCAACTGGACCAAGACTGCCAGAGGGAGAGGTAAAATTTTCTTGTCCCAAGCGCCCATGAGTTCCACAGCAGGTCTTTAGCCATTTGCGATAAGTCTCTGGTGCACCAGGAAACCCCGGAAACACTCCAAACCACTAGGAGGAGCCGGCCGTCCACGAGCATAGGATGTGGTTCACTGCTCGGATTCGTGAGAAGTGTCTGTTCGTCCGGCAGCAGTAGGATGTCCTCGTGGGACAGTTCCAGTAGGTCCGGGAACCATGGTTGACTCTGCCACAGCGGTGTGAGGAGAAGTACCGCCACTCATTATAGGAGGATCTGGTGTAGAACTGCAGAATGGCATCCACTGCCGCGCACTCCGGGTCCGGGAGCCAACTGTGGACTTCCAGTAGCTGGCGGTTGTTGTGAGAGGCAAACAAGTCGAGATGGAGTGGACCATTTTCGGTACTCCAGTGATGCAGAGATCTTAGGGTCCAATTGCCAGTCGCTGCCGTCCCTCCAATGTCGTGAAAACCAATCTGCAGTGAGATTAGATTCTCCCGGCAGGTGTTCCACTATCAGGGTGATGTTGTAAGGGAGGCAGTATTCGAAGATCTGCTTTGTTAAGTCTGCCAGTCACTGAGAGCGGCTGCCCCCGAGGTGATTGATATAGCGCACTGCGGAGACGTGAAGCAGAATGCAACAATTTGATCTGCCTTTCGTTAGACTGCGAATAGCGAATGATCCCGCCAGGAGTTCCAGGCAGTTGATGTGCATGGAAAGCTCTTGTGGAGTCCAAACGCATCATGTGGACTCCACTCTGTCGGTGGCTCCCCAGCCCTAGCGTCTAGCGTCTGATTCCAACACGAAGTCTGGGCGAGTGCTGAATATAGGTTGACCATTCCAGGCCTGCATGCAGTTCAGCCACCATTGGAGTTCTGAGCGGACTTCATCCGTTATTGCAACCAGTTGGTAGTATGTAGGTTTCCTGTGGAAGACGTGAGCCTTGAGGCGTGAATTGCCACACATCCCCATGCCAAAGGAAACGTAGGAAAGGACGGCTCTGGACATGAAAGGGGATAGTCTTGAAGGAGGTCCCGAAGGAGGTGAATACCTTC